TTAACTGCATTCATTGCATAAAGACCTGGATTGCTTGTAATGAATACAAAAAAGCACTTGTCTATTTTCTTGAAATGAGAGTCAAGTTTCTTGAAATAAGAAAAATGTCTGTCTTGATTGAATTTGTCGAAGGAATATGGCTTGTGTGAGTCAGATAAGACATTTTATACAGTAGTAAGACAAAAATACTCGCTAAGTTTTCAGTTTTGCAGTTTTGCAGTTCGCAAATAAGACACTTTCGCTTAAATAAAAATCAGCATTGTATTTATATTTACTAGGACTCTTTCTAGTGCAGGTCCTCATACAGCCTGGCTTGGAGGTGTTGATCTTAACGTCTTCCTTATCATATCAGACTTTTCTTCCTGTTCCCTCTGTTGTTTCCCCTCTACCTTCATGTACTACATGGGGAGCAGGGGAAGGTGGAGCCTCACCCAGCAGGGGTTAGATCCAGCCAAAACAAGCTTCTCCCCTGGCTCAGCCTCCTGACATTTTCTCTTTACAAACTGTTCTCTGTATTTTACTCTTTTCTTTTTCCTTATTTCACACCTTCTCGAGGTGTCTTATCAATAAAGCATGAAATTAGGAAGACCGTCTAATGGGATGAGTTTCCTCTGAAATATTGACTTAAAGTACTCAACAAACTTGTCTTGTCTGTCTGTTACTTTTTATTTTATTTGCACATTTTGAGAATGATTCAAACTCCCAAACTGTGATTTAAGCCGGATATAATGACAATGAGCTATACTGTTTTATTTGCCACAAACAGAGTTAATATTTTTACACTTTGTTAGACTATAATAGTAACTTCAGAGGATTTCACTGAAAACATGATTGATTTATCTTAGATGACAGTATTGTTATTTCTACTTTCATTGAGTGGCTTCTTTGTTTTGGTGTATAGCACAGTTTGTTCAGTCAAACCAGATTTTTCATTTCATATCCTTCTCTCTATCACATCCCATATGTTCTTTTTCTGTCTGCTCTGCCCCTTTGCAGTAAAAGCAACGCCCTGGAAATACAATTAAAGCAAAAGCAGTTAACAAAGCAGGTCTGAGATTGTATTGTTTACTTTGTTCGCCTTGAAAAAGCACGTAAAAGCCTACACATGCTAAAAAGGCCGCTTAACGGCACCGATTATGTGTGGAATAAGAAAATCAATTAAGTTTAGCCACAGACTTCCACATAACAGTCAGCAAACAGATGGAAGCATAAACAGCAATGGAGGGTAAGAAAAAGGAGCTCAGTGTAGGGAGAAGAAGCAGAGAGAGGGAGGGAGAGCTCCCTGATCCTGATAAGGACTCTTAAGACAGACACCCACAATGAGAGTGAATTAATCATTGTTCAGGGAAATGGGAGATGTGGTCCAATTTACAGGAGATTTATAGGTAGGAAATCAAATGCCACAGCATATCAATTAGCCAAGGTTACACCTCCGCAATTCAATGTGCAGAAACAATGACTCCTGAGAAAGTAATGTGCTGCAGAGGTCTGAAACAATTTACCGTAATGTGTAATGCTATTATTCTATTAGCGATGAATCACTCCTGCTCATATGTGATTCCTCATAATGGCCATTCAAAGTCAATCTTAATTTGTGCTCCTTTATCAATGGGGAGGAGAAACGTACAGATAGCACCTCTTCAGCCATCATCCTCCAACAGCTCGTTGAAGTCATGAGCCTCGGCCCACTGCTCAGCTCTCTGTGGTGAAATATAAGAGTGCCTGTGCAAAACTCCATCATCTGGCAGGGAAAGCCTCTAAATCTTGTTATAAGCTCAGAGAGGATAGAGTGGCACACCATTTATGTATGCTGCACTGATGCCCCAGGGATGTTATACAAATTATTTCTCCTCTTTTTGATGCCAAAAAAACAATCATTGCTAACATGGTTTTTAATCATCACAGGCGTGTCTGAAGTGACTTGAGTTGCGTTGACCTCAACCTTGAGGCTGCTTGACCCCCTTTTCCTTCAAAAACAAAACATGTAAGTTATTGAAAATCTAATTTATTGAAAAATAACTCAAGGCAGCTTTTTCTATAAACCACCTTTAAATATGTTTTTTTAAAAATTGCTTGAAATTGTAAGAGATGCATGTGCCTAACTATCCCAGTTTTGAATTATCTCCTTCTCAAAGTCATTGTGCTGCTGCGCTCATGAAAAGCGTAGCAAACGGGCTTAGGCTGAGCCCTCAGTCACAGGCCCTGTGAGGGTTACTTTGAATGTCTTTCCCTCTTTGATTTCACAATCACACACTCCAACAATGAAGAAATGAATGAGAATGAAAGAAAGTGGATCCTAAATATGTGAGGGAAGGTCCATGGAGAAATTATATGACAAATACACACTCAAAATATAAGCATAAGATGAAATTTAAGGTTCAATTTTCTCCAATATGGAGCTGTTTTATATTTGAAGTTCAAGTTCATCAGGACACTGGCATGCACGCTTATTGATTTATGGCTTGGCAATGCTGCCCTTCAGTGGCAGCTGCCTAGAATCACTTTTTTCCTGCAGATGAGTGAAGGGAATGAAACAGATTGCAGTGAGGAGAAATGAGCTGTGATAGAGAGGCAGTAAGAGCAAAATGAGAAAATGAGAAATATTGTAATGAATTCTGGCTTCAACTTTTGTGCCGAAAACATTACACAGTGATGAAATGCCCATATTCTGATCTCCAAGAGTCATTCCTCTCCATTACTTTCTTCTACAATACAAAGCGAACCCTGGCAATTGCTCAGTGTCTGTCGAGGTGAGCTCTTATTATGAGGGAGTGCACCTCTCTGTAGGTCAAGTGCGCTCAAATGTCAAACTTTGTCCCACAGAAATAAAGACAGATGTTTTGTGGCACTTGCCTGAAAACTAATCTAAGCTGGTGATCCATCACGTTCCCTAAAGTTTCAGGCCTGCTCAGAGCACTGGTTTCATCATCTCAAGGACGCCCTGAGCTCAGACTACCTCCTGTTCCCTGCCTCAGAGATCAAAGTGTCGACATCTGAAGGGAACAAAAGTATGGTCTGCTTTGGATGTCGAGAAAGTGGAAACCGCAGTGCCACATTCAATCTTGCAAAAGCATTGTCCTCAGCTGGCTTCTTGGAAACATAAATGTCAATTTTTTTTCTGTGTCCGGCTGACTGACGCGTGTTTAGAGTCTTTGATGGTGTTGTACACAGAGTGCAGCTGACCTCGCAATGACTCTGACTCTGGTCCAGGCCTGCTATCATACTGTGCAAACCTGATAGGGTCCAGATGTAATTGAATATAATTGTATAATGTCTGCTCAAGAATATAATTTGCAATACTTTTCCACTCTTTGATGAAATAGATGCAATCATCAACCTCTCGTTCTTTTTCAATAACAACACTGGGCAATATTTACCAGGGTTTTGAATCAGTTCTGTGCCACCCACATAACAAAACAAAGTGCCAAACAAAGTATGCCAGTGAAAAATGACATGTCCACAGCTGAAAACTATGGTGGCCGAGAACCGCCACTGCTGCAAATAAAAAAATGCAAACAAAAGAAACCACAACGGAAGTTACAGATGCAAAAAAGAAAGAAACCGAAGCCTGCATATCGACTCAGGCACAACATGGCCTAACCAAATGACACATTGAAAAGAACACGAAGCGAAATTAAACAATAACCTTTCCACTTACCTCTTTGTTTGTCTTCTCGCCGTCGTCCTTTGTGCCTAGATCGTAAGAAAAAACTATGCAACATTATTATTGGTCCCCAGCAGCAATTTGTATCCTTTTATTTTTGCAGCAAATAACTTTTTTTTTTCCATCGCCACTTTTTATTTTTTTGCGTTGTTACCTTCCATTGTGGCTTTTTTTTATCTGCACTGTTTCTTTTTTTATTTGCAGCGGGCTTCTGTTTCTTTTTTTTTCGCATAAGTAACTTCTGTTGTGACTCCTTTTTTTTAGCATCCTTTTTTTATTTGCAGCAGTGGCGGTTCTCAGCCACCGTAGCAAACACATGCATAAACAAAAAAATAAATAAATAAATAAATAAATAACAGCAGTGATAAACTTTTCTCATTAACACATGTACAGGAAATAAAGAAGTCAGCATAAAATGTGTCTCAAAATGAGATACAATTACGGTATCCAACAAACATCAATTTGAATTTCTAAAGCTATTTTTTGTATCAAAATCAGACTTTGAACCTTGAAACTATGGAATTTGGAGCATGCATTTTTTATTCCTGACACTTATTTTTTCAAAATGATGAAATAAATTCAGTGTAAAAAATCAGTCTCTCAAAAGATTTGTTTAGTAAAAATTCAGCTTAAAAAAAATGTTTTAAAAAAAATTCAATGTCAAAAAATTCTGTGTCAAAAAATTAAGTGTAAAACAGACCTACTCAACATCAGGGTAACCAGGGAGAGCAATCGATTCCTGGCTCACTTATCCATCATCCAGCCAATCAATTAATGTTAGATTGGTCATGTGGCACCGAACCCCATTGGCAGATTGAGGAATTGATTGCTTCTTCTCGATCACCCAGATGTTGAGTCGGTCTGATCTTCACTAAATTTTTTGACACAGAATTTTGTTTTGTTTTTTTTTTACACAGTTTTTTAGGTCGAATTTTTACCACACAAATATTTTGAGAGATCAATATTTTTTACACTAAATTTATTTCATCATTGTGAAAAAACGTAAGTGTGAGAAATAAAAAACAACGTGCTTGAAATTCGCTGGTTTTGAAATTCAGTCTGATTTTGATGCAAAAAAACATTGAGCTCTAAATTCAAATTCAGATGGCACAGATTTACTTCCATAGCATTCCTCCAACTCCAGAGCCTCAGTATCAGCTCCCAAGCGCAGCAGCTGCTCCTTTAGTCCGTTAGGTGTCGCTCAACTCCTACACCTGGCTCATCCAGCCCCCAACCTCAAACCCGGATCGTCTGGGTTCCCAACTGTCTTCAGCCAATCACAGTAGAGATGGGCGGGTCTCCATTGTTACTACAGATACTCGAAGAAGTTTGCGCCGACCTGCTGCTGCTGTACCTAATGAGTTTCCACGTTGATGAATAGTCGCGGCCCGCGCGAGACAAACGAGCGAGATTATGCCGAGATAAAGAAGCACTACCCTCGTGCTTAGTCCAATAATGGCATGCGATGGTTCATCCGCGGAGGATTTCCCGGACAAAGTGATGCCCAGAGCAGCTCCCTGCACGTGCAACAAGAAGTGCAGGAGCCGCAGCAGCAGCAGCAGCGGCAGTAGTAGTGTTGTCTTTCTGGGATTATTCCTGCTGTCGCTGTGTCTGCACGCTGTCACCCTCGTCTGCTATTTGGACCTCCGCTCCGAAGTCAAAAGGGAAATTATCCACCAGAAGCGGGACTCCATGTTGACACTAGCGGGGAGTGACCTGGCTGACCCGGCAGCGGTGCTCTCGCCCGGCCACCCGCGACCGGACCCCGGGAGCAGCCGCGGAGGAGACGGTCATGAGGTAAAAAGAAAAACACCTAAAAACAATTAAAGAAAAGAGTTAAAAACGACAAGCCACGGCTGCTAATTCAAGACAGCATTGTTTTCATTCCTCACACGGAGGCTGTTCGTGTTTGTTCACCTCCGTCCGTCCTCCTGTTTCCCGTATCACGGTGTCAGGTTTTATGTCAGAGCTCTGTTATAGCATGTTTCAGGGCAACTTATTTTACAGTAGCCTTGTCACGAAGTTTTGCCCTGCTCAGTTTCCAGACAGATGTGTTTTTGAAGTATGGCTCCCGTGTGCGTGAGTCAGCCTTTTGGACAAAGATGCACCTAGGTATAAACTTCTTCGAGTCTGTCAGCTGGCCAAAGTGTCGTTTTCAGGTATAATACCCGGGAAGTCAGGTGAGATATGTCCCAAAAATGACACCCTCATCATCACACAGGGAATTAATCTATCTTAGATAATCACATATTTAAGGAGTAGCTTTTATTTTCCTGTCATTGAAACTCAGTTAACTCAATTTGTTTCGTTTCTTTCTAACCAGACAGAGGTTGATGCTCAAAGCTTAGGCAGCCTGCCCAGCTGGATACCCTCAGACGGGTCAGTCAGTGTGCTGCAGCAGGTGGACGGAAAATTAACTGGATCACCAGCAGGTGCAAAGCCCAGGGGCTGATGTAAATTCATCAGGACTTAGATGGGGCAGTTGGTACTTGGAGCTGAGCCAGCCTCGTCTCACATGTGTTTTCTTTTCTGGCAGCGGCCTGATTGAATGTTCAGTGTGTTGTCTGTGGCTTTGGCAACAGCAGACCCCCCCCCCCCTCTCCTCTTCCTAACCACCACCACCTCCACATACTCCCTAATCTCATCAGTACAAAGGGACTGAGTGTAGGTCTCAACTTTGCTTGCTCAATTGACTCATGTGTCACCAGTTGTGTAACCTTTAAGAGAAAATGATCCTCTGTGTGGGGCTCTGGCTGGACCTGAAGTTGTCCAGAACCTCCAAACACGATAACCACCCGGAGGAGTGTGTACAGGATGCAGGCATTATGTCTTTGTAGGAAACATTATCGAGTTCAGATGCTGCTTTTGGTGTTCGCAACATTTTCCTTTTTACAAGTGGAAAGCTCAGCCTATTCATTTAGTGCTTCGCAAAGCTTATTTTAGTTTGGTTTCCCTGGTTAAAACTGAGTGAGATGGGTTTGGTATTCAACCCAGATGGTGACGCTTCATGAGGTGAAAGACTGCGGCCCAGCTGTAAATATTTAACAGCGCTGTGATGCTGTCCGTGCCAGATGTCTGCATTAAACAACTCTGATTACACATCCCACAGTTTACATAGTTGGAGAAACAGGAGCATGTGGCATTTGGACGCAGCGGCCGCACTTGTTAGCTTTTCAAGAGTTTCCTTTGAAGGGTCTTTTTTTGTACAGCAAAAAAATGTTTATTGGATTTTTTAACACACGTCCGCATCAAAGGAACTTCAGCAGCATCAGTGAAATTAGATGTGACGGGCAGGTATACAGACAAGTGCAACAGGACATGAACAGTCATCCCAGACAACAAGCACGGCTAAAAGAGATCACATAAAGGAACAAACATGCACACTGATACACATGCAGACTATCAGAGTGTTTCCTCGGCTCAAAATGTGTTCCGGAGAAGACACTTGTTGTGGCTTCCTATCGTGTCACAACAACTTTGCACACTCATTTGAGAGCATGTCAGAAAGTTTTAAACTAAACCGGTCAGTGTTGAGTATAAATCAGCCGTGCTAAACAGCGTGCCGAGTGGAAATTTAGACACTTTGTTGGTGGTTTCTTGTGTGAAACTGACAGAGAAGAGAGATGCTGCTCAGATGAGAGCATAGTACTGAACAGGAAAAAGGTCGTACTCCACCGAAAATGACAACAACCGTTCTTTCAAGTTTTATTTTGTTTTTAAGTTTGAAGGGAATAAAAAACACCAGCCTGTAAGTATTCCCAAACTCCCTCTGCATTTATTACATTAGATTTTTTTCTTTCACCCACGACCACTTGTCATTTACTTCGCATTCTCTTGCTGCTGTGAGAACTGAAATAAGCCGACAGTACTAAGGCCAAACTCCATGTTTTTTGCTGGAATTTGGCAGATTTTGAAGGTACACCCCTGAACTGAGGAAAATCAGGATCTTGGCTTGTGGGCTGTAATATTCCAAGTTTCAAGTCGGTTTTCAAAGCACCACTATCTGTCAGGATGTCTCCTCTGTTTTCTCAGATGTAATTACAGAAATCAAAACAATATTCGTTGTCTAAGATCTAAAACTTCAGAGGGAAAATGAAACATGAGAGCAATCTGGGCAAATGGAAACATCCTGGTCAGACCTTTGTTTGCGGAGATGCACTTACGTACCACTTAACATCTCACACCTTCTCAGTTACTTCTTAATGAGAGCAGATGATGTGGTCATTAAAAGTCCGTGCCTGGGACGTGAACAAATATTCTCTCCTTCCACACTCGCAGTCTGTATGCCCTTGAGCAAGGCAGTAAACCCCAGCTGTCCAGCAGATCTGCAGAGTTTCCAACCGTAAAAAGCCCCTACCAGGTGTGTGCGTGTACATGCGTGTACGTGTGTGTTAGTCCTGGGTCTGAAACAAGAGTGTGATACAGACTCCGAGCGTGAGTACAAAAAGAGCAAGTGTCACTGGCACTCAGCCTGACCCTCTTTCACCTGACCTCAGAGAGCGAGACAAAACAAAAATCCACCCATGGAACACTTAATTGTGTTAGCTGGGATTGCTTTTGAATCTTGCCTAACATTTTTCTTATAACCATTATATGAAATAATTTTCTCCTCTGATGTGTGCCTTCAAAGTCTCACAGAGAACAGATGCTGAAACATCTGGAGTCTAGTTAACGGCTATTAAAAAAGTCAGTTTGATGGGACCCAAAGTCCTTAGCAGCGTTGAAGCTCTGGGGCGCCAGGGTGGGCTGTCACCAACTTCTGCTTTAATTGTGACCAGTGCTTTATTAGTTAAAACGGCAGTATCTTGTGCATAGATAGAGCGGGTGTCAGGAACTAATCAGTATGGACAGAAGTGTTATAAAGTTCAGAAGAGAGGAGGTCAAAACTTCAGACATAGGAGACTGCAAATTTTTCCATGCAAAACTGAACAGTCTTGACAGACGGGTGGTGTAGACGCCCAGTAAAGATTAAGTCCAGAGTCACAAACATCACCAAAATAATAAATTCTCAAGGCATTCAGCTAGGAGTCACTCTGCCAGCAAGTGTTGCAATAATCTGACATGTGATTGGCTGCTGACAGGCAACATTTCCCTTAGGTTGAGCTCCACAGCTTTTTCAGATGACAATCTATGGATGCTGTTATTAAATTACCCGAGTTATGGTTGAAAACACATGGGTCTTCTCGAGAGCTCTGCCTGATATTGGCAGGGGCGAGGATACTCCTTTTTTTTTGTGTGATATTAAAGAAGAAAACACTCTGTTTTCCTTCGGTCCAGGAGTTTGGATCACAGAAGTTTTATGAACCTTGTGTCCTCAGCACTTTGCCTGAGTAACGCCTGTACTGCAGTGATGGGCACCCGGTCTACATCTGGCGCTCGCAGCCACAAGCCCAGAGTTTCACCTCCTCAACTTTGTAACCTCACATTCTCGACCGCAATTTAGTGACTAATTGTCACTGCTGGCCTAAGACTTCGAGGAGTTACCGCCACAAGAATGTGAGCTCGGGATGGAAACACTGGAGCCGAGGCATGTTGTCCTCACAAACATCCTAAATGTCAGGGAGGGCGGGTTTTATACGCACTAAAGGGTAAAACTACAAACTGTTGTAATACCAAGTGTTAATAGGGCGAAAAGAAGTCTTGTGATCACAAAATTACACATCCCTGCGGTGACTGAATTTTAGTCATATCCTCACAGAGCAACAGGGAATCGCGTCCTCTCCGTGCTAAAGCACCCCCCAATGCTTTGAAGATTTGAAAGCCCTCTAATTAATAGCATTTTTTCCCTCGTGCTGAAAAAAGAACGGTTTACTCAATAGTTGGCACTTGGCATACATACCAACACGTTGTCATCCTGATTTACTGTAACTCTGCGTGCCTTTGAAGGCTGTAAACGTCGTAATGAAGTGAAATGAAGCAAACGAGAGCGCCAAACCGTTTCTCGTAGTCGTATAAGGGAATAATAACTCTTTTGAAAAACTACTTTGTTGCCTCCATCTAAAGCACGGGTTCGCTAGTAGCCTAGCGGATTGCTTGTTTGTTTTTTGTCGTTCTACTGGAGCTTAATCTCGGGCCAAAAATTGGCTGTTGAATCATGTTTGGCTGTCAGAACAGACGAAAGTGTAATGCCATATGCCTGAACATACACCCAGAATCCTTTGAGAAGTAAAAGCTCGCTATATGCCAACAGCTGGAGAGGAGATGTGGAGACACCTGCGCACCAAATGAACAGCAAACGTCGCTGCTCGCGGGAACATCTGGAGGTCTGTGTGTGTCGATAAACCACTCTAACACACACACACTCCTCCATCGGGCTGGAATTCCCGTGCTTATAAGGTCAGACATGGCTGGCAGCTGGACAGGGATGTAGACTTTAACTGCTTTGAGCTCGCCCAACACAGCCAGCGGGGGGTGTTTGACATGATACAGCTCATCCCTCACCACAGGGGGGGGTTCCCACATCTGAGACGAGGTATGGAAGAAAACTCAAAACATAACATTTCTTGTCTGTCTTCTTATGGTCTTTCAGTGGCTCTGCTCGCAGAAACCACACAAAGAGGCACTGGGAGTTCACGCTGCTTTCAGGAGAAGGAGGTTTCTTGCCGTTGGGGTTTAACAACTATGCTTACTTGAGCGTCACAGATGGAAACGGGGAGAGTGTCATCTCGTACCCAACTGGGAATGGCCCCCGAGAGGTCAAAGTGTCTGTCAGTAAGCTTGTCTGATTCGTACTCGGCAGTAAAAAGAAGTGATACATCTTTATTTATTATCCTCTAATCCATGCGAAGGTGCTGCACGTGTCACTGCTTTAGAGATGTCGGTTATCCAAACTCCAAGCAGATGTCCAGCACAAATACAAGTTGTCTGATCTGTCCTCAGCTATTGAGCGCCTTTATCTTCTCCTCCTATCATTATTTATACTGACACTCCAAAGTGTGACCAAAAATGAGCTCGTATATCTACTTGATCTACTCAATGCAAAGAAAGCCTTTGGGTGGTCTTGTTGTGTTTCGATCGCTGAGTCCCCTTTTGTCTATCGGGACTCTGGGAGTCCTCCAAAGATGTGATCACAAACTGGCTGTCCAAACCGAAGGCGACTTTGAACAATCCGCGTTTATAAATTTCTAAATCCTTAGCACGAAATGTTTTTTTTCCGGGATGTCAGAGCCAGTCGTGTCTCCGACATGTTACAGTCAGTTCAGCGCGTCCTACAGAGTTCACGTGAATTTGGGATGACCAGAACCAGTCACACAAGAACACAGGCATGCGGTTTGTCCCGGCACTCACTCGCCCATGGGAACACCCTGCCGCTGTAGCATAGCTTTCCCTGCTTTTTTTGGGGATGAGCTCAGAGCAGCTCCATCAGATCCTTTGGCTTATTCATGCTACCTCTCAATAGGGCCAGGACCAGGTGCCGATGAATGGATAATATTGCTCTCACATTAACCGCAATCCATGCCCTTCTTTTGTGTGAAAAGGTGAATTTTAGAGCAGTCGTGTCCAGGTGACTGTCTCAAACGGCACAAACACAGACAAAAGTGACTCTGGTTACCGGATGGGTTACAGCCCCAATGGGACAGACAATGACTTGGCCACAAATGAATGTGCTTCCTGACAGTGTCTCACATCTTTTCAAATGCCCCAAGTTGTGTCTGTGCAAACATTATACCCCAAGAATAGAAAGGCCACTTGTAGGCCGTTGGTTTCGCTCTCAAAACCTTGAATCACTCTTTCCCTTTTTTTGGCCTTGCAGGATTAATATGAGAGAGTCCTGGCCCGTGTAGAAAGCTCATGAATATTCTACTTTGTAAATTCCCCTGTCTCATTAACGCTGTCTTTTGTTTTTCTCCAGGAGAAGTTACTGCACAGAAATAGCGACTTCCACGCCACAGAGGACCACAGGGGCATAACTCAGCGAGCGAAAAGGAGTCCCGGCAAGCAGCCAGAAACAGGCAAGTCCTTTTTATTTTCGAATTTATGATCACTTTCTACTGCTGTGTCTCCCCTCTCTGTTTTTATGCCCACAGTCCCATTTCAGCACAACTGATGACAAAAACCCTGCACAAATATTTGCTCTCTGGTGCACCTGCATTAGTCTATTTTCTGGAAATACTTGGCACCCACCAGCCAGACTGCTCGGCCCTGTTTTCCATAACTCTGCTTGTTTGGAGGGGATTCAGTACTGAGTAAATAACAGGCTTTCGGTGGGCTAACAACTCTTTAAATTTGAAAATAGTTTGTTAACGGTTTCTCACTTTTGAAGGAAATCGATTTTTTACTGCTTTGTGCCTACTTAACAGAGCAACACCACCGCACAATGTTGCCTAGTTTATAGAGCGCGAGATTAAACAGAATGGGATTGATTATTACTTGGATAGCAAACAAGGACAATGAGGAGTTTGGGAGGGTTTCACCAATTTGAAACAGACACCGAAAGCCCTTCGCTGATTTCCCCCGTCTCGAAATAATATGAAGTCCCCGAAATGTCTTTTTCATCCATCGACTGCGCGGTTCAACTTCGGACTCCAGCTGTGTTTTTGCGTTGCGCTGAAACATCTCAAAATAAAAATCACTTTGCAGAACATGCGGTCATTTTAGGGGATTAGGCATTTGGGATTTTCAGGGCTTCATCAATCCCAAACAAATTGATTTATTGTAATCAATGGGCTCTCAGAAGGCCACGAGGCTGATCGGTTTGAATTTGCTTTTGTAGTTTGTGTTTAGAATGAAAGCTATGCAAATAAAAAAAAGGGAGGCCTTTGAAGTTTCATGTCTGAGTGCAACAAGTGCAGCATGATCACAAAGCATTCCGATGTCTGTGGCGTGACACTGAATACTTTAGGGGAAGTTTAGTGATTGTGTTTAAATTAGGAGAAAAAACTCACCTTTGAGACTTTCTACATAAATCAGTAAAGTCCCGAGCCTCTAAACACTAATCATTCCCAGGTCTCTCCTCGGCTCTCAGCGCACAGACAAAGGCTTTTGTAATCTCAGCCTTAGATGTGTGTGTTTGTGTATGTGTGTGTACCTTGTTTGCACGTGTGTGTGTGTGTGTGTGTGTGTGTGTGTGTGTGTGTGTGTGTGTGTGTGTGTGTGTGTGTGTGTGTGTGTGTGTGTGTGTGTGTGTGTGTGTGTGTGTGTGTGTGTGTGTGTGTGTGCGCACGTTCAGGGCACTCCTAACGGGCACCAGATTCCAGATAGGGCTGCTCGTTAAGAGAAATCTATGCGGATGCATCCAGTCATTTAGCCAGAGGAGAAACACTGGCCATATGTTTGAAGGGGACTCAAACTGTGAGGTTTTAAGGTTAAATGGCCTTTGTAGTTGTAATGACATGGTAAACACAAGAGCAGCGAGACGGCTTTTTGAAAAGGATTCTTCAGCTGCACACAGAGCGCGCACACACACTCACACTCACACACACACACACACACGCAGATGCACACTAAGTGCATTTTGTCTTTCAAGCGCTGACACAGATGCCCCACCAATATCCACGCACGCGCACGCTCACACACATGTTGTGAAGGGGAGTCGCACACACAAACACATGCACACGCCCACATGTAGACACACTTTCATCTACATTCTCCATCTGGGCTTAATTCAAAGAAAAGGATTTTGGCAGGATAAAGTATCTCTCTAATGATCTTCTCCAGTTCCACTGCCTGTGAATGCTTAAGGCACTTGTTCATACAGAGGAGGTGAAACCACACTTACAAATTACTACACTAGAAGATACCACAGACTGACATACCTCAACTCGAGTGTTCAGAGCGGCACATCTGAATCTGTTATTTCAGCCTCTTTTTGATACCTGCGCAGAATGAGCGGGATATTTGAGATGTTATCGGAGATGATAATTGTTCAAGAGATCATTTCGAGACTGATCCCATTGCTTTCGCTTTCTTACAGAATCAACCGGGAGAGATAAAAGGAAAGATAAGAAAAAAGGTAATACATGACAACGCCAACATTTCAGTAACATTGGTCATTAATTAGAGTAACTGCTGCCTGTTTTCAGGATGAAAACCTTGAGTCCAGATTTAATGACTAAGTCGGCTTGGAGGAAATGACAAGTTTTCCATATCTGACTCTGTCCTCTCAAGTCATTTCTCCTCCTTTTGCTGTGTTCAGATCAGAATTTACAGCCTTTACCAAAGCAGCACAGGCTGTAGAGCCCCAAGAACAAAATTTTTGATTTCTGATTTCATGAGTAAAACACACTTTCCAGACAAAAATAACGAACTCAGTCATTCTGGTTTCTGTCTTCACAGGGAAAAAGAGGTCAGTGCCGGGGCCTCCTGGTCCCCCTGGTCCTCCGGGCCCACAGGGGCCACCGGGCATCCCTGGAATCCCCGGCATTCCTGGGAGCAATGCTGTAGGGCCTGCAGGACCTCCTGGACCCCCTGGGCCACAGGGACCCCCGGGCAGTCAAGGCCCATCAGGTATAAAACAGAAATGACACGATCCGTGCTCAGATAGCCAAGAGTTGAGCCAGAGAGCTTGAAAACACCCAGGAGTTGAGAGATTTGTTCTTAGATTACAGCGCTTTCCTGCTCGTAGAAGAGTTCCCACACTAGAAGGGGGCTCAGGTTGTCACACTGGTGAACTCATTGCCTCTTAGTTCAAGTCTCTAGTGCAGGCTGTCAAACATACTGTGGGATAGCAGTGATCCATCTTTAAACTATTTCACTGTTTGTTTTGTTTTAATCATCATCTCTTCTTCTCAGCTGTGTTGAAGGCCAGAACTTTATCTTGTATCTCTCCTCCCCTCTTTTATTGTTTCAGGGGTTCTCGATAGGACAAAAACAAAGGAATTCCAGGTAGAGTATGTCAGCTATTAAAATTAAATTTATCCCTAACGCAAAACCTCCTGACGAAACAGCTGTTGCTCTTGTTTGACTGCGCATCCAGATCAGTCACCAGAGATCTTTTGTGTTTTTCAGCCTGCAGTGGTTCATTTGCAGGGGCAGGAGACGACAATCCAAGTGAGAGAAGGTGGGTCTTCTGTCTGTTCTCGGTTGTAGTTACACCCCTGTGTTTGACACAGAACAATAAACAGGCTTAATCCCTGTCAGTGTCCTTCGTCAGAGATCTGTGTCTGCAACTGTTCTAATAAACACATGCTTGCTAAACCACAGACTCACGTCAGAATAAAATAAACATGCCAGGTTTTGACAATCATGAAAAGAATTGTCTTTACTTGCTGCAGCTAGACTAAGAGTTTATGGTCTTAATATTGCGACTTATATAATATCTACTATAAGACTAAAGTAACCCTGATAATCCCAGAGCTATGACAGGATTTGTATACAGTTACAGGCTTGAATTAAAAGTCAGACCTGTGTTAAGGCAGCTCAGGATGAGAAGCCTTCCATTCTGGCACATGCAGGTTATTATCCCACTTTGTCACCGAAAAGGAGCGTAAGCACCGTCAGCTGGTTTATTTTTTCTGCCAGCGCTAGCTCTGGTTTCAGTTTAAAACTGCTGATTTCTGTTTATGATGACTCGTTGCCTCTTGTTTGTTTGTTGTGACATGTTTAGATCTCTCTGAAGGCATCCTTAGGAACTGGAAGATGGTGTCCATCCATCACCGCGTGTTTAAAATGCACTCTCGCTCCGGAGAGCTAGAGGTGCTGCTGGACGGTGTCTACTTCATATATAGTCAGGTAGAAGTGAGTACGGTCCTTGACGTAACTCTTATAATTTATGATTCTGAGTCAACAGAACTGACATTTTATTGTTAAGATTTAAAACGTGCTTGCTTTTTGATCCACACATATTTGAGTTCTCCATCGAGAATTTATTCCCCTGCCTGTGGTAAAATATGATGGTCTATAACTCAAGCCCTTGTTGGCTACTCTGATATTCCAGCTGTTTCAGCTTTAAACAAGCTCTGAAATGTCATGTCGACTTGTTTCGACCACCCCTCTCAGTCTTCTGTGGATTTCTCTGTCTTCCCTTTACACCAGGTGTACTACCTCAACTTCACTGACATAGCCAGTTATGAGGTGATGGTGGACTCCAACCCATTCCTGCGCTGCACCTGCAGCATCGAGACAGGACAGCGTAAGTTCAACACCTGCTACACGGCTGGTGTGAGCCTGCTCCGCGCCGGCCAGAGGATCTCCATACGCATAGTGTATGAGGACACGCTCATCAGCATGACCAACCACACCACTTTCCTGGGAAGTGTCAGGCTTGGAGAGGCTCCATCTGCTGGACAGAACTGATAACTACACACCACAGCAGCACTCGAAAGAAGGGAGAATTTGCTCTCTGTGTTCAAAATCAGGAGCGACTCTCCAGCCGAAGTCTTGCCCCTGTTAAAAGAGCTGAAAGGAAACTTGTGCCTGAGGAGCTCCCGGCTGAAATTTGTTCACAGTTCTGTATTAAAAGGACCACATAAACTGGTACGCTTTCCCTTAGACGTCCTCTTCAAACAAAAGACTATTTATAGTCACCATTTGTGCCAACAGACGACATCACTCTCTATAACAAGGAAGGACACTGTGCTGACATATACTTAATATTTACATGTTTGAAGTGCTGTTGAATGATAATCTTGTATCTCCAAAATCACAAACTATTTAAAATAATGAAGATGCGATTTGTAAACTTGGCCTTTTAACCTTTTTTACTCCATCAGCAGTTATAAGTAAGTGGTTTAATAGGGGGTTTAAAGCTCCAGATGCCCCGGGGTGATAAAAAGAGCATTAAAATGTTCAAAGCAAGTATAAAGTTATCCACACCAAGCTGAAAAAAGCATTAAAACTGGAGTTATAAGATATTCACAGAGCAACAGCACCATATATTTTGCACACATTTGCACTACAGCATCCCTGCAGAATATCAGTGATATGTTTTTTACAGTGCTTTTGTTTAGTTACCGTGTGAATGAATCCATGTGGAAAAATGATAGTTGTTTATACGTCTGTACATATTGTATATAAAATGGGATATACTTTTGTAAATGGAGTTGATTGATGGATTAAAATGTTTCATTTTCTGTCTAAAGGCATTTGTCTGTCTTTTGTGGTGGAGCAGTGAGTGGTATTGATTTAAAAGGTTAAAACGTCTTTCACATTGGAGTCTGCTGGCACAAGTACAGACAAGTACGAACGATGTTCTGTGAGTGAGGCCTTTTGTCTTTATTAAAATGTGGCTTTAACTTTGACTGCAAGTTTCACAATACAATAAATTTCATCTGTAGCCTTCATACAATCTAAATGAGTTCCATCTTTAGAGGCAGAGAGGAGATAGTTCCTCATTTAGAAACTAAATTTGAAACTGAACATTTTAGGTTTCCGGGGTTAACTGATGTGTGACCTCAACCGTTTGAGTAAGCTGAGGACATCCAGTCTGTTTGCTGCTCTCATAATGCTTCGCACTGCTGTGTTATCACTCACAGCGTTGATGTTTTGTCTCAGTCTTTTCCTGCTGCACAGAGCCAGTGTTTTAAAAAATAATTTTCGCAAACTCCAAAGGGACATAATTCAACAATTAAATCAGCCATGTTCTGAGAGAGTTAATGGGAAAACAGCCAAGATATCTGAAACGAGGGAGGTATGTCACTGATTATGCAGGATGGAGTCATCTTGGACATTGTACTACTGAGATTTATGCCATTAGTGAGTATTCAGATAAGGCTGCAATAATACATTTTCTCCTAATGCTTTGTTTTCTCTAAGGACTTGAAGGCAAGTGCTTTGCAAAGTGCTCAGAGTTCTCTGAAGATCTCTTCTAGGAGAGTAAAACGGGAACAGAGCAGCTGCAGAGGTGGGTCAGAGCTGAGAACTGAAAATGTGTCCATTAGTTACACTCTAATCTGTTAGTGAACACATAAACAGTGTATGCAGAGTTTATAAAATTAAAGTATTATGTTTATTTCCCCTCTTGCCAGCTCCAGCATCATTCATGTATTTAACAGCTAACACGAACAAACAACCAGGCATTAGAGGTAAAACTGAATTCAAGTCTTTGGCTTTAGTAATCCACTGTATGCCATTATTTTGAATAAGTGTATCTGGCCGCTCCCACAGGAAATATATTAGAGATCCCTTGGACCATTTCAGCGCAGCGAGGAAATGCAATTTCACAGAGGGAAAACAGAATTGTTGTCCAAGAGGATGGTTATTACTTGGTGTTTGGACAAGTATTGTGTCACTTTAATTCAAGCATAACTAAATTGATTTACATCTGATTTGTTCCAACTATTCTACTAATGTTCTGCTTAATTCACAGGTTCTGTTCACAAGCCAAAGTTCTGTTATGGGTCATATAATTCAAAGTTGGAGTTCAACGAGAAGAGGAATAACATCAACAGAGCTATTGCGTTGCATACAAGAAATGCCAGATCATACTCCTGCCAATACATGCTACACAGCAGGTCAGAGAGGCACTTACTGTGTGGCCACAAATAGCTATATGATTTTGAAAGGCATGCTTATTTGCCTTATTGAACAAATCAAGAAAAAAAAAAGAGAAGATTAGCATCACTGATGTGTTTGGTGAGAAGAAATATTTACAGCTGGCAGTTGGTTATCTTACTTCAGCACAAAGACTACACTAACTCGCCCAAACCTTCAATAGAATTAGCCCACTAGCTTCATATTGTAAAAATAAATTTAGGTGCATGGTAAACATATTTGGTTGTACAAGCTGTGTTAGACTTTATCTTCGTCAGGTGGACTATTATTATTGCTCTGAGGTGTCTGGTTCTTGCTAAAAAAGAAAACAAATGTCTGCCAAGCAGTGGATCAAGTTTTATGTTTTGATTCTTGTACAAGTTTTTAAAGAAAAGTATTTGATGTGAATGATCATTTAGTTTTTCCTTGAACAGACAAATTTTAAGATGACACGGAAAGGGATTTTGCCACCATTGAACAAATCATGTTAACAGTTTCCTTCTGTTTCTACTCTATGTACTGAGCTAGATTTAGCCAAGCTGACTGAGTGCTCTCCTTACCCATGAGAGGAGAAAGCTATATTGATCATCTCATCTGACTTTTAACAAGAGATTTAGGCCTGTATGTGTGCCTTTTGTCAATGTGATGTTAGGTGTAACTTGGCCTTCAGAGTCTATATAAATGTAATGTTGAAGCTGCTTAGTAGTAGCCTATGAGATTTTTCTTCAATATCTCTCCTTTAATGCTTTTATATACTGAAGCTACTGTATGCATTTCCCCCCACAGGCATAGTGCAGCTGCACCAGGGTGATGAGCTTCAGTTGGTGATACCTGACAGGCCACAAGCCCTCATCTCTATGGACCCAGAATCAACATTTTTTGGTGTCATACAGCTAAATTGAAAAAAAAAAGTACAGGGATGATGACTATGCAGCTGTCCATTTCAGGATGTTAGAAACTGACACTGAGCCGTTTGAGGGGAAGCTGATAAAGACCAGAGTGACAGTATTAGGAAAAATGCTCGTAACTGTTCTTGTTTTTATACAATGGACTTTTAAATTGAGCTGTCCATCATCATCATCTTTGGAAAACTTCAAAAATCCCTCAGCTTTAACCTTTTAAATAAGCACCTTCCTTTACTCTGGCCTATCCTTTAGCTTTGTTTATGTATAATTCCACCTCCTTTCATCAGTCTATTTTAGTACATCTCTTTATACCTTGCTGGGGGCTTCCCTCCAGCTCCACCTCCCTGCTGTCTGTTTATTTGTTCCTCTCATCTATTTTAAAACGGTTTCCGTGTTCCTAAGACTTTGTCAGGAACAAACACAGGTATAAATTTATAGCTCTCTACACTGGGGGTGTATCCTGGTTGGTGTGAAATTTTAACACTGTAGTGCCAAAATATATCATATTAAATTTGCTGTTAATAAAAATGCCTCAGAGAGAAAAACACTTGTTTTCATTTATGATATATTTTGAATTCATGCATGTCAAACACAGAAAAAATACCATCTTTGTAAAAATAAATAAAAATAAATAATTATTCATACAAATTAAGAGTATGTAACTTTTTTCATTTCTCAACAGAAGGTGTTTGATATGAGTGACCAAGCCCTAATGTCTAAATATAGTATACTTAATGCCTATCTAGTGTCCACAGCTGTTTACCCTATCTCTTTTTTTATGAAGCATGGGTATAAGAGGGTGTGTGAGTGTGTGTATGAGCCCGTGCAGCAGAGTACAGCACTATGAGCAGCAGCAGAGGGAGGATGGTCAGACATATGCTATTCTGGTCACTCAGCCATGACCTCTGTTTAACTGGACTGACACATCTTGAGCCAAAGGTATGCTTACCGTGAATCATTTCAAAAGAGTGTAATACCATAGCAATTTTTAAGTCCTTCATGTTGCACATTTTCTGCAGTGCTTGAGATCTTAGAACCGTTAAGGTTGTTTGACTTTGGTTTCCATGGTTCAGTCTATGATTATGATTATGATTAATGTTCCTTTCATTTCAAGGAGGGGTCCTGGAACAACCAGAGTCTCTATTCTGTCCCAGTGGATTTGGATGTAAGGCTGAGAAGACTGGACCTGTCCAATAACTTCATCAGACAGTTGCACACACTTGCACTGCCATACTTGGAGCAGCTGGACCTGAGCTCTAACCAGCTGGATCTCATCTCCGACGGGGCTTTTGAAAACCTGGCCCAACTTGAAGAGTTGAATTTGTCCAGAAATGCGCTGAACAACAACCTTGGCAGTAACACTAAAGCCTTTCGATCCATCAGCAGATTGAGGAGTTTGGACATATCAATGAATGGGTTGAGTGATGATGCAGTGGAGCTGTACCTTCAAAACAAACCGTCTCTTGATCAACTTAAAGTGACGGGAAACTTTCTGACCAGACTTTCACACAACTTGTTCAAGGAGAGTAAAGGTTTGAGGTCCATTACTATTGATGACAATCTGATATCAGTGATAGAAAAAGGAACATTTGAACCACTAGACCACTTAGAGATTCTCAATTTAGCCAAGAATAACCTTGCAAACATCTGTGATTTTAAACTGCGTCAAGTTAAATACTTGAACCTGAGTAAAAATTCTCTTGAGTTTTTTGTTACTGAACAGGTTAACTTGTTATACAGACTAGAAATTCTTGATTTGAGTCACAACAAACTCTTATATTTTCCAATTGTCCCAAAGAAGAACAGTTTGAAGTATCTGTATTTACAGAATAACCTGGTAGGTGCCCTAAATTCAGAGGCTGCAATGGTGTCAGAGGCCAACTATCTTTATAGTGAGATAATGAGGGAGAGGATAGTCAAGAAAAATAACCTCCACTCAAACTGGAGGCTGATGCCTGTGACTTACATCGACCTGAGCTATAACCACTTCACATCCTTCCCCACTGAAACCTTGAGCCTTTTGTCATCTTTAGAAACTTTAAATTTCAGCTACAACTGTTTACAAAGCATCATCTGGGATGTTAGAAACCATCCTCAGTCGAATTACCCTCGGCAGCTTTTTTTCTCTGCCTTAAAGCACCTTGACCTGCAAAGTAATGGAGTTGCATCAATTTCCACAATATTTCTCAAAGCACTCACAGGTATACAGACTTTAAATCTGCGATACAATTCTGTGCAACCTTGTGCCTCAATGGATGATTTGGAAAGCCCTCGATCAGCTCAGCAGGTAAATCTCAACACCTCCTGTGTTGTCTTTGGGCTCTTGAAGACTCTCAAACACCTCAGTCTTCAGGAAAACAACATCAAAATGCTCGAGCCAAACTCATTTCAAAAAACCTCTTTAAGTTCTTTGAACCTTGCTGGAAATCCACATATGACAGTGCAAGAAGGCGCATTTGAAGGTGTGCAAAACACTCTTGAGTCCTTGACTCTCAGTGAAATAAACATGACCAGCTCGAATTTATCATTACCTTGCATGCCAGCTTTAACTCACCTGAATATTTCAAACAACCACCTACATTTGATACCCACTAGTTTAAGCTGCTCTCCTCTGAGAGACCTGGACATAACGAACAATCATTTCAAGTCTTTAAACCACTCTTTGATTACGGCATTATCTGTACACCTAAAACAGATGTATTTGAGTAGAAATCATTTTAACTGTTGTGAAAGTAAATGGCTGACAGTCCTACATGACTTAAAGATAAATCTGCCTGACATCAACAATACTCTATGTTTTACAAGTGCTGGAAATATGGGGATGACAGATTATTTAGAAAACCCCTCTGTGCCGTGTTGGCTTCATACAAAAGCACAAGAGTTACACTTTGGACAGATGATAGTAATTGCTTTATTTCTAACTGTATTACTAACAGCGATGATTATGTTTATCAGAAAGTTGTGTTGCACACAGGGGTCCTTTATAGTATGATTTGTAAAATTTGTCTTTGGTTTATTGCATCCATGCTTTTTTAACATTCAGAGGGGTTCAATAAAGCAAGAAACCAAACACATTTGGTACGCAGGCTGCACCAAATGAACCACAGCGCCTGCAAGATCTCCTATAAACAGAAGTTGGGATTAATGGCTGCAAAGACTGTAAAAACTAACAGACCGTTAGTTAATGAAATGCTGTAAAATCCTTGTCATCTGGCATATGATTTGGTTCTGATTTTCTTTCAAGCTCCATTAAATCTTTCTCTTTTGTCTCCCTTGTTAATCTGAATGACATGCATGAACCTGTGTGGCCGAAATATGATGATGGAAATTGGCCTTATTTACTCTCAAGTTGTTTGGTTACAGTGTTCGCCAAATTCACTCATCAGGCGGAGGATTTGTTGTCCATCCTTCTTTGTGAAATGTTTGTAAGTTTAACATTGGCTCAGATTTTTTTTTGACATCTGTGAAGTCTTGCTCAACTTTCCTAGAATTTTGACTTAACTTCTAAACAATTCAGAGCAATGCCAAAAACAGCCCATGTACCAGTTTGTCTTTGAAACGCTATGAAAATGCTTCCTTTATCATATTTATGTTTAATATCAATACTTGCTTTTGTTTGTGCTTTGTAAATTATGATTAATGTGGCTCTGACCCTGAGAGAATGTCATGACGTACATTAGTGAATATGCTGTTGGAATAAATATGGAGTTCCCAACAACCAGAGTCTGGCAGTCTTTAGTTTTTAGAAATAACCCCCCATTTCTACAAATGAAAAAAAGAGGAATGACTGGGTCTCAGATGGCAAAATCTTTGATGTCTGTGAATTTATAGTTTTATTCAAGCAATTTGAACTCCACCAAGCCATAAAAAACATTGACTGGAAAGGCTACCATCCTTCAGAGTGAGGTGCATTCACACTCCATAAATCATGCTGAGTTTGGATCCACACTTTGAAGAAAAACAGACTCCTCCATGTAGCAGATGAATATTTGAAAAAAGTAACAGCACATAGACAAACAGATCTCAAATGAGGAAAAAGTCTGAAGCCTGATGACAGGTTGGAGTGTAAATGCATTTTTAAAAATAAATAAAAGTCACTCAGTTTTAATAATTTGTATCATCTCAGCGAGTGGCACAGTTTGGAGTGAAAGAGCCATACAGGATTATCCAAATGAACAATACTCTTCTTGTCTTCTTATTTACACTCTCCTCCTTTTAACAGCAGAAAAGTGAAAATTTGCAGTTTTTCATGCCCAGAATAACTTGGTCCAGTTGGTGGGGGCGTGCTAATGTTGGTATCAGAGGAGCCAGGGCTTCTTCATCAATCTGTCTCATGAGCAATGGAACTGAAGAAAATGTCTCTGTTGCCCCACCCACAAGATTTAGATCATGTAGCAGCTTGACAAGTTCATGCAAAGAGCGCTCAAAGAAAAGAACATTGTGTGGATAGTATTAGGTGTAAAACCATAGGAATGCAACTAGCAAATTGTATTCATTCTTCTTCTTGGTGATTAATAGGAGCAGGTATTTTGGAATTGGAAGTAGCTTGCTTGTTAGCTCCTCGGGGCCTGTGTTCAAAACCTGTGCCAGTGTCTCCCTCTCGGCAAACTGTATTTCCATGATTTTAAGTAAACAATCTATTTAAAGTAAATCAAGGACATTTGAAGTAAGGTTCTATAATGCAATGTGAAGCTTTTTATTCTTTAGTAAATCCAACCCTTGACAAAGTTGTTAAAAGTGTCATTATCCAGAAATTTGTACTTAAGTTATCTCTTTCTTTTAGATTTAGAAACTTACTAAAAGTGCAGCATGGATTTATGGAGACTGAAACCCAAATTATTAAGAAGGCATGACATGTTTCAGACATGACAGAAACTCTCTGAACAATATTTTTGTAGTTCATTGTGCTTCCTTCCTTCCCTTGTCATTAGGGTAAATACAGGAAACATATGTAATACAGTTCACATGAGGTCATATATATATATATATATATATATATATATATATATATATATATATGGGTTGGCCATTTCTACAATACCAAAAAGGAGAGGAAACTTTAGTGAGAAAAGAAAAATTACAACATACAACTTTAATGTACTCCTCACATCAACACATTTTTTGTAGCCTACATGATAATAATAGTAGTAATAATAATAATAATAATAATAATAATAATAATAACAATAATAACTTTATTTATATAGCACCTTTAAAAACAGAAGTTTACAAAGTGCTTTGACAACAGTTGCAAGCACAGAACATCAGCACATGAAAATAAAAACACATAAAAACAAAAGCTCAGTTAAAAACAGGCCTCTGAATTGTAGGCCTGTTTCATTTTTCGTAAGAAACCCAGGCAATACAAGAACCCTACAAAATAAATGGGACCATGAGGACCAAAATAAAAACATAAAATGAAATAGAAAAGGAGGGCAGGAAACAGGCTAGTAAGTATAAAAGAGGATATTAATAATAATAATAAAATCATAATAAAATAATAATGATGGTGATATAAATGATAAAGTGGAATAAAAATAAATAAATAAATAATAAATGATAACAATGGTATCACGATACAGTAGTTTTGAAATACTCTGTTCATCACAAGACAATTTATCTATGATATATCATGATGGGTGGGTCTTCTCATCTCCTGTAGACGATAGTCAAACACTTCCAGGCGAGTTTACCTGCTTTAAAAACGATACTTTAAAGTTTGGCAACCGTACCAGACAAGTTGAAGAAAGAGTAGGACACCCATTCTCTTCACTGCTACTCCCGCCATTAGTTCAAACAAGCCAAGTCTGAAGGCTCAAGAGTCGTCGAAATTTCTAGCATGGATGGTTGACACAAGACGGACGACCGTCGGTGGCTGAAGAAAGAGCAGGACACTGGTGGTTGAAAGGCGAACAAAAACGGATGTGAAGAAAACTAAACTTCAACAGAGCCTTTACAAGCAGTGGAAGAAGAGTGCCGACGTGTTTGGTTATAGCCATGTGCTACATTTCTTTTGTTTCCATCAAGTAATAAAGTTTAAGTGAAGTGAAGTAAGCTAACGCTAGCTGCCGGACAAACAGTCATTATCCGGCGGGCTTCAGCAGCAGCAGCGACCCGCAGACCGACACCATGACCCGTGAGCGGCAGGTGTTCCTCAGCAATCCGCGTCCATCCACCATCACCCAGCGAGTACAGCTAACATACAAGCTGTTTTTACTGGAAAATGCACGGAATACACTCGAACAAGAGCTACTGTGCTTCACTAAAAAGGTAATAACTATTTAAAATTCATGCTTAGAGTCTCTGTTAAATAAATCGGCTAGCTTAAAAAACAGGTAGGCCATGTGGTCAGCTTTTTATACAGCAGGCGTAATTAACGTCGTTTGCAGAGACGGCATGTGGAGACCGCGTTGTTGTAATTGTTAGAACAGTAAAAAACGATTTTAACATTTATTTTATCACATGGTGTGTAGATAATAATGCAAAATAAGTTATCATAGTTTGCTGGAGCTGAAGCTGATTTCTCATATGGATTATTATTAATCTTCCCGAATAGACTGAAAGATTATTCTAGCTATTAAAGCCATAGACTGTATATAAGATGGACAGAGTCTGCCTCCTCGCTGGGTGAAGCCACTCCGAGAACAGCGCCCTCTGATGGTGGGCTGCAGTACAGGTCATAAATCCCGCCTCCACCAGCAAAGCTTATGGGACAGAACATAATTTTTTCTCCCCTCTGGTTGTGATGTTGACATATAGTTACTGTAAGACTGGTTTGTGCCCAAGTCCTTTTTTTTCTGTACAGCTCCGTTTTTAAAAGTTACAAGGGGGTTCATGTTTTCTGTGATTGACACCTGGTACAGCCTATGGGCGTTCAGGGATTGCGTAGCTCTTCCGGGGGAATACGCTGTTTGACCCGAGCGTCATCACAGGGACTCTCGGCGACTGCGCGGCCGAATGCGCACATTGCTACTGCACAGCTCTGGTTTCAAGGAAGTGGAGAAAAACCCGGAATTACCGAGAGCTTTTTGGCTTCAAATCCGTATACAGGCGGAAGGCGGAACCAGGTTGTCCTTCTTATATACAGTCTATGATTAAAGCAAATATCAAACCATGAACGTATGACCACATTTGTGCTGTTGGAAAGTTTGCTGTAATTGTTACAAGTCTTATTTTTTTAACCTTGTGTCACTCTTACTCCAGGCCTATGAAGAGGTCCAAGATTTCCTGAATTCACCCTTACCCTCAAGTGTTTTCACCGATCTTGCAATGACTTTAGATACGAAATGTCAAGCTATTGTCAAGCTCTCATCTATGTTGAAGGACCAAACAGCCACACAGTTCAGTGAGTCGAAGATTATTCTTATAGTTTTTTTACCAATAGTGTTACATTTTAAATGTTGATTTGACTGTTGGCATAATATGTTCATGTAGATTCTCATTCATCCAGGTCATGGTTTTTTTGAAGACTCCAACAACAGGCAACTGGACTGTGTAGAGTTGAGAAGACGTTTCGCCTCTTATCCAAGAAGCTTCTTTAGAAGATGTTGGCATAACGGTGAAAACTCTCTCCGTCTGTTTTTTCTTTCCTGATATAGAGTCACAAGTTTGTGTTACAAATGGGGTGACAACAGACCACCTAAAGCCACTTGAAGACCAAAGGATCCAAAAGACAGATGTGCTTAAGTTTGGGCCCATGTTGCAGAGCTCGCTCATGGTCAACTCCGTAGCCAAAGCTGTCCAGGTGCTTGGAACCGCTCTCTCCCTGCAGCAGTTCAAACGTTTCCTTTTTTCCCAGCCTGCAGCAGTCCAGCAGGATGACCAGATATGCAGCGTGTCGTCCAGCTTCAACGATACAGTTGCAAGCTCATCCTCTAATTTAAAGGCTGAAGAAAAAGATCATGGGATGGTTTTTAAGGAGGTATGCTTGCCAGATGATGTGACTGCTGCACCTGTCGATATGCTGAGTTCTGAAATCAGCCCTGAGAGACCATGGCCACAACCACTACTACCCCCTTTACAGGCTATATTCCAAGAGATCAGTAACCCCAGACCAATGATAATAACACCGCTGAATAGCTGGGGCTATGAGGACGATGTCCAGGTGCAACACCAAAAACAAACATCCTCTCAGCTGCTCCACTTCCTCAGAGCTAAAGCTAAAAACATGGGTGCACTAGAGGTCACTGTCATGGAGTGTAGGAAAAGCTTTAACACCTCAGGTTCACCACAGTCGATGTCACCTACAATCAAAACACAAAGCTACCAAGTCAGGCAGGTTGTGACAGATGATCTGATGAATGGACTGACTCCAGAAGCACTGCACACTGACATTGAGAACCACACCCCCATCTTCAGAGTTAAAAGAGTGGAATCAAGTGGCTCTCTGACCTACTCCTGTGTTATCGCAACAAAGACTGAGTTGTGGGATATTGGAGACATCTGCACAGAGGCTGTACTGGGTGTTTCTGAAGTGAGGCCCTCGGAAAATGAAGATATCCAAAATTCAACAACTAAGGTGGAGGACCCTTGTGTCAATATTCAGCTGGAATCCCAAACTCACCATCACACAAAACCAGAACATGAGAGGAACTCTACTGATGCAAAAACACCAGCAAACTCTGCTACCACGATTCCAGAGTTCCAGGTCCGGAAATTCGAGGAGACTGAAGTGGTTGTGTCTCATATTGTCAACCCAGGGCACTTCTACATTCAGAACTCAGACTTCATCACAAAGCTGCAGGCCCTTATCACACAGTGAGTTGTTCTGTATGAATTCTAGTTTAATGTCCACATCCCAGCCTTCTTGATCACAATAAAACTAAGAGAGCCTCCCTTTTTCGGTTCATTACTGTTGTCTCTTTGATTCGAATGCTTCTGGTTGTCATTATTTTTTTCTCTTTTGCAGCAGCTGGGAAGCTAGTAGCTCATATGCCGAGCAGAGCTGCATTCCAGACATTGGAAGTCTTGTAATGGGCTGGTTTCCTAAACAGGAACAATGGTGCAGGGCTCAGGTGACCAAGATATGTGGTGTAAGCGGAGGTGAGTCCAACTTTGTGATTTGGAATGAGTTTGCAAATGCATACCTCTAGATGGTAGCAGTGTCTCTTTACTTGCCTGTAGCCACTTGGGAATTCCTTTCAGGGTTTTTTCAGTTCAACCTTTCTCGTTCTCTTCTATTTGGGATATCAGCTGACTCCCCTGAGGGCAATGGCAGTGAGACATCTATCAAGGTGGAGGTGAAGCGGCTGGACTATGGTGATACCGCCTGCTTGTCACTGTTGGACATCAAGGAGCTGACCCCAGAGATGACCGTGGTACCACTTCAAGCTGTACAAGTTTCACTAGCAAATGTGAGTGACATCATACTGACAGTTTAAAACTTGTTCATGATACAGAGAGCATTATCAAGTCATTTTCAGACAAGCATCTGGAAAGTTTCTGGAAAATTTTGGGGGCTCTGACAAGGAAATTTATTTGACAGTGCGGTTCACACGTAAACACACGTACACAGAAGTCAGTGCTGTTGGAAGGGGGGGTATTAGGCTATGTTCACACTGCAGGTCAATTCCGATTTTTTTAACCATATGTGACACATATCTGATTTTTTCATCTAAGTGTGAACAGTGCAATTCAGATTTTTTCAAATCCGACCCAGGCCTCTTTTGTATGTGGATATTTTGTATGTGCAGTGTGCACGCTCAGGTCGCATTCATCCAACCTTTACGTCATCAATATGCGACAAACGTCCCCATTGTTCGACAACACAAACAGGCGCGGAAAGCAATTTGTGCTTTGTGGGCATGCGGGTCACTTCACGGACGCATTCCGTTCACATTAGATGCCAAATTCGTTGTTGTAATGCGAACAACCGCACAAAAAGATCGGATTTAACAAAATACCCGAATTGTGCATCATAACCTGCAGTGTGAACGTAGCCTTAGACACTGTGGTAGTCACTGTGATGTTTTACAAATCTAAAGATTTAGTGAACCTAAACATGCCACCTCAGTCTTACACAAAACTTATTCCTGTTTATGGCCTGAAAACTTCAATAAATAGAGCAAACTGACCATCTCTTCTTACAAGTTGTGCTACAGCAGCATTTTTTAACCAAGTAGCTAAACTAGACAGAACACAGACTGTGTGTTGTGCAGAAACACCCCTCGGCCGCTTCCCCTGCTGCTACTCATAATGAATTCTCTGGTAGATTTGCTGCTGCGTTCTCACATGAGCTCACCCTGACTTTACCCCAAAATGATACTAGGGGGCTGGTAGGAAATATTTCGGGTAACCAAAAACAACAATTACTTAATAACCAGAAAAAAACTGCTCTGGAAAGAGGTTAATTAGATCTAATACATAATTGAAATGCTCAGACTTTTACATCTCTGCGATTGTATTTTATAATTTTTATAATTTTTAAAATTATTAATTATTTAATTTAATTATTTTTATAAAAGCTGGGTCTGTGCTGGTTATATATTTCAGCAATTTAGCAATATTTTGTACAGGAAAAACTATTCATCCTCGGCACTGGTGTCACCATGCAGGGATACATAGAGTAGGCCTTCTGTTGTTGAAAAGTTTATTGTCTTGTTGCACTGGAATCAAGTTTTTGCTTGGTGTTGAGGAACAAAGAAGTTCAGGTATCAGTATCATTCAGAGGAACATCTCCGTATGTACGAGGGGGGTACCACATACACGCGTTAACATCTATAATGAACATGTTCAGATTTACAGCGACAGCCACGCAGATTAAGCCCTCCCAGGATTTGTATCTGTGGAAGTGGTTAATATGCTGTCCTTCGCTGTGAGATTGTAGACTCAGTAACAGAACTGGCATTAGTCCACATGATTAGTCACAGCCTTATCTATTCCTGGGTGATAAAGGAAGTGAATTATCTTAGTTCATGGTAGTTTTTGTCTGTTTCCTCCCCCTTAAGGTGACGCCTGTGAATGGGGGTGTTTGGTCTGAGGAGGCAGTGGGCTGGTTCCAGGCAATGGTTCACAACAGGACGCTTTATGCCAGACTGTACCCACAGGGGCCCAAAGTCACAGTGGAGCTGTTCCTGGAAAAGGGAAAGCTCGGAGCAATGAGGTACTTAAGTGCGACCCTTTCTATTCACTCAGCATTGTTGTGTGTGCGCCAAGTGCCCCAATAGTCTTTTTATAAATGTTTGTGGTGAATTAGAAAGTGGAACAACAAATGTAATGTGACGAATTGTTGGATTTATTTGTACTTGATTTCAAAGCAAGTAAGTGCCCAATATTTTAACAGCAAAATTGAACTATTACTCTTTCAGGAGAGGTGCACCACTGTCTATAAGGCTGGCCGAGAACGGACACGCGAAGCACAGGAAACTGCCAAATTTTGGCCTAATGAAAAGAAGTAAGAAGAGAAATAATATGGATATTGTTTAACTCAGCGTTGCATCTACAGCAGATGGCAGTGTAGCCTCTTAATGTCCAGAGCAGCACTGGTTTTCATTCAAAATTTTCCCTCTTTCACCCGACTGATTTTCACTACAAGTCTTTTATTTTCTCTCTGAAGGCGCTGCTCAAGTTAAAATGAAGAAACAGGACTCGGAGTGGGAAAAATACCTCATTGCATGCTATACCCAAAACAGGGATTAGAAGTGGAGAATGTTTGTAATTACATGATATTTTGTCTTGCATATCTTCTAGCCAGTGTAAGATTAAACATTTAGATGGCAGCCTATCAAAGTTACAGACAAACCTAAACACAAAGATGTTTAATGGTTCTTAAAAGAGAGGGAGAGAAATCCAGCTTTTTTTGACAATCTGTTTTCAAGTGAATATGCAGATTAATGATTGACAAACCACTGAGATCGACTCTATACAATCAAAGAAAAATTTTGTAAAATTTGTAAAAATTTTCTGTTGAGCTTTATTGCCTTTAGTTAATTTGTTCTTGAGGGAAAAAAGCATTTATAATTCTGAATGAAAGTTGTATCTGAAAATCGTAATAAAACTTTATCTTAAATCTAACGCCCTCGGTCTCTGTGTTGTAGCGTAGTGTATCTTCTACAGAGAGAATGTAAATGAGATTTAGTTCATTCAAAGAATTACCAGGCCACCCAAACCCTTCCCACTATGTTTGTCATAAGTGACGCAGAAATGCTTTTGCCACAGTGAACTACTGTCGGTCATCTGATAGTACATGACAACGACTATATTGTGTTTTCTCTTGCATTCAGGGTTTAGTTACTGTAAGTTATTTCTTTCTGCTGACACAACACAGTGTCGGTACAGAATGAACTGTAAAATCAACAATTCTATATGATTATAAAGTTATGTTATTCTCTGACTTGAAACTTGAAATATTAGGCAGCACAATGATAATGTTAGCATCCCTCATTTTTAATACTAAAATCACACACACACACACACTGCTTATACAAACTACAAAAGTATCATATTCAGTGGCATAACATACAAAAAGCCCCTGGCACAAACAGTAAGGCATTTGATGTTCGTTACAAAAACATATTAAGAGTTTAATTTTTTAAAAACTGGGTCAGGGTTAGCTTGTAAACAAGGACAGGGGTGATTTTAATCAAATCTTGTGTATAAAGTTAATACGGGCTTTGATATTGACCTACATTAGTGTTTGTGTTAGTGGAATAGCTCATATTTTCTGGATGAATCTGCAAACCTGCTGGTGACTCGCTTGCTCTCTGTGACAGTACCTCAGGTCAAAAGCTTCCTTCACTTCCCTGCTCTGCCAAGCACAATAAATAATGCGGCAGGCTGAGGCCTTTTGTGTCCACACAGATTCCTTCTTTTGCCCGGGGTAGGCGGAAATCGAGGCGTTTGATCTGAATTCTAAAGAGTCTTGTTGCAGCCCAATAAAGGCCGCCATTGTATGTAAATAGTTTATATAAGAGCATATGACTGCTACGGTGCAGGGCAGTGGCTAGTGGCGGAGGAATGATTAGCATTTTTCAAACGCACCGTGTTCTCAATCCAGCCTTCTGGCTTGCTGAAAAAAATAATATTTTTATTCATTTCTTCCTGCTTTGTACACATTTTTGTGTACCACCACAGCTGAAGGTAAAACACATGTTTTGTAATTTTCATCTCTTATACTAACATTATTATGTGTCGTATGTGAGCAATGGCTGAGTGCTGGCCCATTGCATCAGCAGATACGTTCCACTATATTTTGTCATATTTGGATGAATCAAATATAAAGAATGTGTTTATTTGGGTGTTATTTGGAAACTGGTCATGTCCATTGCCATCCCTGCAAACAATGAAAGTCTCTCACTTGTCTAAAAATATCCCCTACTGAGATGGGAGTTTTGCTGATTCCTTTGAGAAATGTGCTGGCAGTCTGTCAGTCTGTCTGCAACTGGGCTGTAGGTCAGTTTGGGAGTACGGTATTAATACAGGGCGAGCCGATCACGTGGCTCTGCAAATCTTTCGCAATTGGCTTCGTTCTGTTGCGTCTTGTGACGGCGCACGGTGGCAGGCCATCACCCCTGCTTTTATACGGCCAACAGCCCATTTGGCAATTCTTTTCTGTTGTTCTTTGCTCTGCCAAAAGCAGCTTGATGCCCAGGCCACACCTCAAGATGGTTATCTTTGGACCCGGTGCTGCTTACGCCGCTTGCACTGCTGGCTGAGCCTGGTAAACCTCTCAAGAATAATAATGTCAACAAAGTTAGACTTCACCTAAATCTTCTTTGTTGTTCCTTAAAATCGATTTAGTGCACGATGTTGAAAATGTTTGTAGGCTTTCAGTAAATAAGATGAACATTGTGTTTTAATAGAGTTTTTTTATGGTCTAACTAAAGATCTAACTTGGGATTCATTTATACCACCTTGACTGGAATCTAACCTTTATTTTTCAGACCTGGAGTCCAAAATGAACTGGGGTTCCTTTTATGCCGTGATCAGCGGCGTAAACAGGCACTCGACTGGCATCGGACGGGTCTGGCTCTCCGTCATCTTCATCTTCCGTATCCTGGTCCTGGTTGTTGCTGCTGAGAGTGTTTGGGGAGATGAAAAATCTGGCTTCACCTGCAACACCCAGCAACCTGGCTGCAACAGTGTCTGCTATGACCAGTTCTTTCCCATTTCGCACATTCGCCTGTGGGCGCTTCAGCTCATCCTTGTCTCCACCCCCGCCCTGCTGGTGGCCATGCATGTTGCCCACCGACGCCACATCGACAAGAAGCTCATGAAGAGGGCGGGTCGCACCAGCCCCAAGGAGATTGAACACATCAAGAACCAGAAGTTTCAGATCACCGGAGCGCTGTGGTGGACTTACATGATCAGTATCATCTTCAGAATCATCTTTGAGGTGGCTTTCCTCTACATCTTCTACTCGATCTACCCTGACTTTAAGATGGTGCGGTTGGTTAAGTGTGACTCGTACCCATGCCCTAACACGGTAGACTGTTTCGTGTCCCGACCGACAGAAAAGACCATTTTCACTGTGTTCATGCTGGCAGTGTCTGGAGTGTGTGTGCTGCTCAACCTGGCCGAGGTGATTTACCTCATAGGGAGAGCCTGCAAACGCTGCTTTCAAGGCTCTGAGGAAGAAGCCAAAGGAGCATGGATAAGTCAAAGATTGTCTTCTTACAGGCAAAATGAAATCAATCAGCTGATAGCCGACCACTCTCTCAAGTCAAAGTTTGCTGTGACTAAAAAGAGCCCGACTGAGAAGGGTGAAAGGTGTTCTGCTTTCTGAGACTCTCCTGAACTCTTTAAACTAATCAACAGTAATCACGTATAATGATGGAGCGTATTGCTCTGTCATGTAGACTGTATATTAGATCACTCTCAGCACACATACATACATACATATTCAGTTTGTTTATCATCCAAACACAGATTGATGCTTCTTTTTTTCTGACATTAGCTGCTGGCTTAACTCATCTAAACCATTAGGAGCCAGTTATGAAGGTCAAAAGATAGCACCAGTGTTTGTGCATATTTACGACAAATCTGCGTAACCTTAATGGGTCAGCAGTTTGCCAAAGCTCCCTTTAATTGGGCACATTTTAGCAGTTTAATTTAAAGTATTATGGCAAGCAGGTCACAGAGATCATAATTAATCAAACTTAAAAACATATGTTGCTTTTTTTAACATGCTTTTTATAAAAATACATTTAAAGCTCCTGTGACGAGTTTTTGGATGTTTATCAAATATACTGAAATTCATACTGTTGCCTTTTTGTGACATACAAAAGTAAACCAGACTATCAGCGACGTGATAAATTATTTTTTTTAATCATAATTTTAAGGGTTGGAAACCAATATGAGAGGGCAGGTGTCAACCGAGCAGCTAAAGAAACAGTCCCAATTTATATTAAACATTTACATAAATAATAGAGTTGACTGTCAAAAGTCAGCTTTTTTTGTCAAGACAAAGTTTCAGCATGTAGAAGAGAGGTTAGAGAGACTGCAGGATGTCAAAATTATCACAGAGTTCCTCACAGGAGCTTTAAAATATGAATTAGTTAGAAAAACACACTGCATTGTGGGCAGGTTGGTGTATCAGTTAAAACCATCTGTTGCTATGTCGTGTTTGACATTCAAAGAGATAATTCAAAGATAAATTTAAGTCCACACGGCATCAACAAAAAACAAACGGTAATCCTGGTAAAGCAAGTAAATGTTCAGAAACACTGGTGCTGTCTTTTTATCACAGACATGATGTGACTTTAGAGGAAAAAAATGCTGGACAGAAGGAGAACTTTCTATTTACATAAAAAAAATGTTCATATGCACCAAATTTCATTCTAGTCTGGGTCAGAACAGGGTATTGTAGAAAAGAGTATTAATATAAATAAATGCCATATAATGTCAGTGACAGCTCTTTAATCCAACAACACTATGCTAAGATTTTATTAGACTGTTTCACTTATTTGATGTCACTCAGCCTCATGCAGACAGCTGCAACTATTCTAAAACTCACCACACTGCTGAGGAAATATAAAAATTGGTGCTAGAAAACCAAAGAGGGATCAAAATTGTCAGTGTGTATTACTCTTCCAGAAGGGATCTAAAGGAAAATGTGTATGAAAATGTCTTTAAAACTATTTAACACTATGAAGTACTAATACAAAGTGATATCCCAACAGTAAAGTTGGACGGGTGCACAGAAAAAATGTAGAAACCACTGGCTCCTTCTCTGATGTTTACCCGATATGTTAAAATTACTATAAATAGTTTATTTTTGTTCTTTCTTCACTTGACAACTGGGTCACTTTTAAATACTGCATATCCAAGTACTGTACATATATCTATAGGTGTGTACATATTTGATCTAATTAATTTATTGTAGCTTCTGTTTGAGATGATCTTGTTTTGTTTTGTACATATATTTAAGCAGATCTACTTTTTAACAGAGAACCATCACTGTGGCCTTTTGCTTATTCAGTATTCTGTTTCCCTCTGGTCCTGAAAATGTAATTCACCATTGAGGGTATTGGTTTATTCATCTGTTCTTTTATTAAAGCTCCTGTGAGGGGTTTTTCACAGGTAATGAAACAGACTGGAATTGAGTTTGACACCTCTATCTGACCTATGAAAGAGAGAGAGACCAATTTTTGACAATTATTATTTTTTAAAATGCCCGGAACTGCTGCTGTTAGTGGATGTAGGATGAAGTGACTGACAACATGCTTCCCAAACAAACATTTTTACATTTGCTTTAAAAATACTCACATTGAGTGTTACCTTTGAAAGTTAAAAAAAAAACATGGCAGGGATAAAATCAGCAAGGGGTGAGGTGTTTTTTCGTCCATAGGGGGCGCCAGAATCAACACAAACAGAAAGTTCCTCACAGAAGCTTTATTTTACTTTTACTTTTGAGACCATTTGTACAACTGGCCTTGGAAATTTCTGCCTTTTATTACTTTACATACCAATAAACAATCCATTTAATTGATAACGTGGGTTGAATCTATACATGTAAAGTATTAAATGTAAAGAAATAAACTACCTGATAATTAGAAGTCACTTTAAGTTATTTTGCAAACTCACAGTTGTATGTGTCTTAAAGTTTGTAAAAGAAAGAAATTTATCGTCTGTGTAAAAATGTATAAAGTTATGATGAGGTGCACTGATTTTCTTCCGTTCTGTCACTGTGATTTGTAACACGAGGATGCAAACCGCTACTCATCTCCAAATCATGCCCCCCATGATAGGAGCGACCCCCGGGTTATATTTAGAGTCCAGAGGCACTTGTGGCCAGACAGACTTAGCAGACACCGTCATTGGCCAGTTGCCTTGTCACTCACTGTAACAGACGAGTGGAGAGGCTTTAATAGTTTACATTAGAGTGGACCCTGTGCCAAATTTAACCACAGGAGGGGGAGGGGGGTAGTGTTTGAGGGAGGGCAGACCGGACATGGTTGAGAGTGTGTCCAGCAGGTTATGTGTGTGTGTGTGTGTGTGTGTGTGTGCGTGTGTGTGTGTTGTGGTCAGAGGAAGACCCGAGGGCCCTGGATCCTGAAGATTTGAAAACAGAAGACCAAGGCAGCAGGTTTGTCGGTGTGCAACAGAGGTAGTAGAGGGAAGAAGTCCACTTTTTCTGCCCATTCAAGGGCATCGCTGGGGGGCTGAAGATCAGCTCTGAGCTGAGGCCTGTCAGCAGAGCAGACAGCCTCATGGACCCTCGAAGACATGTCGAGCTGCAGCACACGGGATGTCTAAGCTGACAAGGTGGGTTTAAGTTACTACTTTGTGATTATTTGTAAATTCAATTCTTTGTAAGTCCAAGTATCTTTGGAGTGAGAAAACTTCATTAAGATAAAACTAATGTTTGTTTATAGGCTGTTAGGAGCTGCGGGTTTCCACAAGCTTGAATACAAACCTAATTTTCAGAGGAAGAAAGTAGCCTGAGGGGTGAATTAATGAAAGCAAACAATTATTTCTGTACAACCCTGCCTGAAGTTGTTCAAACACCTCATAGATTTGTTCAACATCGTTTCACCTGCTGCGTCTGAGCATTATCAAAGTCATTCCCAGAATCTGCTGCCGTGCTATTGTACAGCCCATCCATCAGATGAGGAAAATATTTATATCATTATGTGCTACAGGAGCTGACAGTGCTGACATTACTCAACCATCTCAAATTTGCACTCCCAACATATCTGTCTGGTGTTTGATTTCACCCCGTGTGGCTCATGTTGCTGTGGCCGGGGCCACGAAGGCCAGGAACTGCAGAATCATGGCTGGAACCTTCCCCCCCTGTCCACACATGCCAAATATATACCCTCCTAAAGTAAATATAATCCAGTCTGCGTCCACGTGGATGAAGGCCAATACCTGCTCAACAGCAGAGTCCCCCTCTTGAACACTCAGTTAGCAGCTTGGCTCCTTTGAGACTTGTTTGGTCTGAGCTTGGTAAGAGGTTTCAGAATACAGAGTATGTGGTCTCTCTTTGACCCTCAGATATGTTTTATTTTTGTTGTGTAAACACATGAATTAGAAACGAGATATATGAGCTGTTTCTATCTGTTTTTGCACCTCTAGTGCCAGATCCGAGCTCACACAGCCATGGGGGACTGGAACTTGCTGGGAAAGCTCCTGGAAAAAGCCCAGGAGCACTCTACCGTTGTTGGCAAGGTGTGGCTGACCGTCCTCTTCATCTTCCGCATCCTGGTCCTGAGTGCAGCTACAGAGAAGGTGTGGGGCGATGAGATGTCAGGTTTCACCTGTGACACCAAACAACCTGGTTGTGAGAATGTGTGCTACGACATCACTTTCCCCATCTCCCACGTCCGCTTTTGGGTGCTACAAATCATCTTTGTGTCCACTCCTACACTGATCTACCTGGGACACATCCTTCACCTGGTACGGATGGAGGATAAGCACAAAGAGAAGGATAAAGAGAAGGAACATGCTCGTAGTTCAGACAAGCAGGGCCTCATAGCGGAGACCAAACATAAAAAACCTCTAGTAAGGGATGACAAGGGCCGAGTACGCCTGCAGGGGGAGCTCCTGCGCACATATGTCTTTAATGTGATTTTTAAAACCCTGTTTGAAGTGGGATTCATTGTGGCTCAGTACCTCTTGTACGGCTTTGAGCTTAAGCCCATGTACACATGTGACAGACCGCCCTGCCCCAATGTGGTAAACTGCTACATCTCCCGTCCCACAGAGAAAACAATCTTCATCATCTTCATGCTGGGAGTGGCCAGCGTTTCTCTCTTACTCAACCTTATTGAAATCTACCACCTGGGCTTTACGAAGTGCAGACAGGGCATCACTTTCAGACGAAATGAAATGTCCATTGAGAGTCTCCCCAAGGAACCCAGCGAGACCTCGGTGCCCTTTGCACCCAGTTACGATGAATTCTTCCACGCGCACCACCAAGTCCAGCCGCCGTACCCGCCGGTCCCCAGCTACAACCTCTCTCCTCTGTCTGATGGCACAGACTCAACCTTCCACCCTTACCACAGCAAAGCAGCCTACAAGCAGAATAAAGACAACTTGGCGGTGGAGAGGAGCAGCAGCAAGCCAGAGGAATGTGACCTGAAAGGAAAGAAGGGAGCAGGATCGGCCCCTGGGTCACCTACGCAGGCCAGGCCAGGCCGCAGTGCCAAACACAGCAGCAACAAGACTAGAATAGACGATCTGAAGATATGAGGAGGTTTATGTTTCTCTGAGGGGTTTTAAATGTGCAGTAAGGGGATCTGGTGTTGTTTGGAAGAACTTCTACACGCTGAACTGAGTCCCCTCTTTAAAATGGTGAAGGTTTGACTCATTCCAACTTTGAAGGGAGTGACATTTTAGGGTGCAAGGAGGGACTAATCAGGTTTAATGATTACATTCATCATGAACTTGACATAAAGCTGCCTGAAGAAGAATCCCTCTGTGAGAAAATAACTTTTTATCACCTTAGACTGTAGCATTTATGGTGTTTGGAACATTTTTGGCATCCCCACTTTTTCAGCCAAAATGCATTGTTGAAATGTATACTTTGTCTTTTACTTGATTTGTGTTTGGTAAGTCTTTCCACCACTTGCTTTAAATAGTAGAAATAATGCTGACTTTATTTTTATAGCACTTTTTTTTGAAAAACAAAGTTTACAAAGTGCTTTTCTTCAAAAACAAAACAACAATAATGACAGATAGAAAACAAATAAAGGGTGATTTGTAAAGCAAGTAAAAAAAATAAAAAAAAAAAACAACTTGTTTGGCACTGTTATCGTAAAAGCAAAACTTAATAAGTTTGCCAAAGTATATTTACATGAGATCCTGCTGACGTTAGTGTGTTTTTGGAAGTAATTTAAAAGATGACACTGATTTTTGTAGCCCCTTTTCTTTAGGAGGGCCTGTTTTCACTGAGAGTTTGACAAAATGTCGTGTTTGCTCAGGATTTACATCAGGCATTTCTTTTTTTCTGTCAGTGTTGATGAAGCCAAAAGTGTAACTCTTAGCGTCTAAAGTTGCCCGTGTTTAAACTTTGGGAACAGAATCCAGGGCGTAAACTTCTTCAGCACAGGCCTGACCTCATTTGAAAGAAATCAGATAGGGGGAATAGATAAATTTAACTTCCTTTAACTGTTTTGAGGTCATCTTGCATAGTTCACTTGCTTTGACTTGAAGTGAAAAGTTGTGCAATACCTGCCAACACACTGGACGTTGAGAATACTGTTCCCGGACGCACCCCAGATTAAAAAAAAAAAAAAGAGGTTGCACCGGTCTCAGGAGTTCCCACATTTGTACTCTGTCTTTTCATTGCGACAGCAGGCAAGTATGTAATTATAAGCACACTGTTTTGTTTATCATTGTTTATATGTGTGTTTGTGTCGATTGTTCTGTGTAAAGCACTTGGTGACAGGCATATTTGTAAAACAGCTCCAAAAATAAATCTGTCTTAAATTTGCAAACCTAGCAGCACTTTTATGATCTCAAGTCTTTATCAGGGGAAAAAATGAACCATTTCACTGCAGCACATGTTGCACATGTTATTTAATTACCCTAAAACAGATAAATCAAGATCGATTGAGGATTTATTGAACCAGTATTATTTGATTTCCTTGAGAAGGGGAACTTTCATGGAGTATCTCTCTGGAGCCTCTTCCCTGAATCACTGATATTAGGCTTTACCGGGTGCATTTGACTCACTGATATCACAAGCAGTTCATCCAGTTAAACGCTGACGTACTCAAGCGGGAATAAACATGTTGCGTGTAAAGTATCCAAGCGTGCACTACATCCTCTTCTTTGCCAGGAAATCTGAAGACACAGGCAGCCCCGCTATGGAAGTCTTAAAGTTAACGACATGACGAGGAAGCTTTCTCATACCTCTGGGCTGGCATATTCATAACACTCTGTCAGTGCTGGATGTGTCGAGGGAAAAACTTTTTAATCAGATGTATCAAAAGAATATCATTTCCTGGAAGAAAAAAAAAAGAGAGATCTGGACTGGGGATTTGATTGAGTGTGGTGCAGGCACACGACTTAAGTGTTGTGTTGCCAGAGACATTACGTTTCAGATCTCCTGGACAACAGTCAGGGTGTTATTTGTTATGTATGGTTTCATAAATCAGTGAGTGGACAGAAATAGACTCTGTTTGGAAAAAAAGTCATACATAGTCTTATAAGAAAACATAGAACACAAAGGATTTTCCAGCTTATTTTAAGAGATACATCATATGGGAGTATGTTAAAGTGATCATCTTTGAGAAAAGGGTTATATGTGCTTTTGAGATGCTGACAGATGGACAGATATGAGTTATGGCTATAGATGGAAATCCAGCACTTTGAAATGAAATCCTTTTAGTGTCAAGCCAAAACTTTTAATGTAGCTGCATCAAAAAGTTTGGGTCCATATACCAGGCAAAGTGTGCAACATTTTTCAATGGATTATCTATTTTATAGACATAAAATATCAGACGTATGAACTAAAGTGTTGAGAGTATAGAGCTCTTCAGGTCTCTAGTTTGGCTGAATCCTCATGTGTCGGTTTGTGGTTTGGAGTTAAAGAGCCAGTGTGTAAAAAAAAGTTGTTTTCTTAATTTTGTAGCACTGAATATTCATTTAATTAGATTAGATTAGATTAGATTACATTAGATTAGGTAGAAGTTTATTGATCCTTTTTGGGAGGTTCCCTCAGAGCAAATTACACTTTGTTAATTAAATTTTAGTTTTTGTAATAATTTAATTCATAAACTACACCTAAATCACTCTGATCGGTAGAGGAGAGGTCAAGCTTAGTATTTTGGCCCTTACCAGAGTTACGAATGGATTTCAGATCCTCCAAAGACAAAATTTATTTGATCATTACAAACTAAAAGTGCAGAAAGAATTCAATTCTCAGTTTCTAATGACAAAAAAATTCACACAGCTTCTAACAGAAGTGGAAATCTGATGAAAACATCCTTTTCATTAAAAACTTAAGTCATTCTTTTATCATGAATGAACAGCTGTCTCTGCAGCTTGGTACAACACATGGACATTTCAGGACACGTTTGGCTTTAAGGGACAGAGGACACAGCTGGAGCATAAGGACAAACTTTGCGATTTAAACGTGGTGTTTGGACACTGGACAATCCTAAAGAAAAATAAATAAATACTGTAAATTTGTCTTTTCTCCAATAAAAGGACCTAAGTATTTGGGGCAAGCCGTGGTGTAATCTGAAGGCCATCATAGCACCACAGAAAAACACCTGCAGGAGTGAAACACATTAACACAGAAAAATATGAGTGACAGTTCTTATCTGTCGTGGCTTTTTGTATAGAACTTGATGACAGATACACTGTATTCACTCGTGCACAATAATACTTTAAGCTGAAGGAAAAGACTGATGTCTGTTTATTTGGGTGGAAGAGAGATTCAAACTGGAGACCTGAAAAATAACTACATACTGTGCTGTTTTATCCCCTTAACTGTATGAATGATAATTCATGTTTTTGACTAAGTATTAAATCTCTAGGGTTTCTGTTTCCTTGAAGAAAAAACAATGAAATTTTCCTGGAAACGGGAGCACAGACAGGCACAGTGAAAGCACTGCCTGGGGTTTGTTTGACTGTAGATTCAAATTTTTGTTACCAGCTTTTCTACCTCTTTATTCTCTTTGTTCCTTTTGGTGTGATGCTGTAAATCTCTCCAGCAGTCCTCTACTGCCCTCTCTCTTTACTTTCACTGAAACACTGACACGCAGCTCATCCCAGGGATGTGTCTGTTTGGCATGCCACCTGCTGGGCAGAGAAAATAGAGCCACTGAGAAATCTAACAAAACCTGCTTCAATTACAGTTTTTTAATTGCTTAAGCTAAAGTTTGAATAGAGGGCCCAGTTTTTTCAATTAGCAGAACACCTCAGATTCAAAACGAAAGACTTGTAAAAAGACCTGTAAAAAACTGTACACTACTTTATGAAACGGTATTCTGTTACCATATGAGAATGCACGGTTCATGACTTTATTCAACTTCAACTTCAACTTTATTTTATTTATATGGCACTTTTCCTACAAGTTGTAACACAAAGTGCCTTACAAAGCATAAAAACAAAATGAAACATTAAAATCCCCAAGAAAACCCCAAACCTCCCACCCGCACAATTATACCCATGTACCTGGTTCTGTCTGAACCAGGTACATACTGCAGTACTAAACCTAAAACACTTTTAGCAATTCTAGTTCTCAATATTTTGAGTACTGCAAGTGAAGTACACAGAAAAAGTCCAAATATACAAAACAGAAAATTCACCAAATACAACACATGACCAACTCTGCAGGCTGATGACAATGTCATTTATTCCTCTCTATACAAACTCTATACTAAATTACATTTTAAAATATTGGAAAATGAGTCAAAAAGAAAAGAAAATCTACTAGGGAAAAAATTAGGGGTTACGTCTTCGCGCTAGATCTGGCCAGAGAATTTGTCAACATCACAGGCGATATCATGTCAAGACGATGAGGAACGAACCGCTGTGAGTGTCAAATCCATCCTTGAATGGGTGTGGTGTCACTTTGGTCACAGGCCTCCTCCATGGCCTGAATGAGGGGCACCTGATCCTTGGGCTGGAGATCATTATGTTGACAATCACACTTCAGCAGAATTTAGAAATCAAGAGTATGGTGGAATGTATAACACAGCAAAATGAGGATGCTGCTGAAACTAGTTCTGGACCTGTGCAGATTTTTTATTGCATCTGTTGCATTTGACACACTGTGATGATGTTGTGCAGTTGGTCCAGAAATGTCAGAACACAAGGTGTGTTTTAAGGGCCCAAAATGGCATGAGCTGAAGTCAAGTGAACTCACCTGCTGCTATTTTATAGTGCTTAAACCTGATTGTTGTGTCTGTGTTGTGAGCAGTTTAGCATGTGTTTGTGCTCCTGAGAGTTGTGTTTAACCAGTTGGCAAAAAGGTGTGGTCATTTGAAAGTCAGTGCTTTGGAAGTTGCAAGTAAGTAACATGATGATATACATCCATGTCTAATATATACAAGTGTGTTTAGTTTTTTGAAAATCACTGAGTGCATTGGTTTGCCAAAAGTGTGAGGCTAACATTGTGCTTATAGTGGTGCTAATCTGGTCAGTTGTTTAGCTCCTTGAGTGGAAGGTTTTGATAATTGTGTAATACTTTTTATTTTAGCGTTTATGCAATCCAAAGAAAACTGTAAAATCTTACTGGTGGAAACACACGAAATTATAAGCAGCTATTTCAAAACAGCTGTTTTATTTGTCCATTCGGGGCACACATATGTGAATAGTAACTTTTGAATGTTGGTGAGACACGATTAAATCAGCAGAAGTGACATTTAAATGTTTGTTGTATCCCTCTCTTTCTGGCCTGTTTTTCATCACACAGACATGATGCTCCAGACCCGCTAATGTGTAAAAAATGACACAGAGCAAGCAGCGAAGCTCGCCCTTGTACCAACTTTTTCATTGCTTCAAGGGTAGGCTGATGAAATATCAGCCAAAGGGAACGCCGAGCTTCTGATGTTTGCTGACTAAATCAGTCTGATCGCTCGCAGGCCTGTCACCTCATCATCAACACCAGCTTTGTGAAACTAGATGCAGACTGCACAGTCCCAACATCAAACTATGCTGAGCACAGTGTGGGAGCAGAGACATTCACACATCATAGAGGAGAAGTTAACAGAAATCAGCTGCTGACATGGTTTCTGAGGCAGAAAACGTCATTATGGCTCGACATCTGTCACTTCTCGTCTCGGCTCCCATATTGTGTTGTCTGTGTGAACAGGATGACTGTTTGCTGCCACCATGTGACAGCAACTGTAGTCTCAGTGTCAGATAAAGCTTGTGTTGTTATGGCAACTTGATTGGGTAAAGTTAGGGTAATCAATTTAAGAAGAGCACCCACATTTTTAAATATTTGTTTCAAAACAAGAGGAAACCAGCTTTGAAGGACGATGAATGAGACGACAAATTCTAAAAGGTTTGCATGATGGTATCTTGTTGTTATCGTATGTCAGGCTTGTTAATATTGTTGCAGTCAGATTTGCTTCAGGGATAAACAATTGAACAGAAAAAGTTAGGAAGTTGTGACCCGTAGTGTGACTAGGCTCATGATTGGGCCCAGTACGGATTTTATTGGACCACTGATTCATTATTTATTAGCCAGGATTCAGCCACTTTGTAGTTACTGAAGTTTTTGCTCTAAGAAAACATCATAAGACTAAAGAGAGTCATTTTTGGCATGACATTAGAGTTTATAAATCTGCTAACATTTTCATGCACAATTTAACTGTTATTGAAATAAATGGTCTTGATTAAAAACATATCTGCCAATGGCCTCTAAAAATCACGTACAAAGACTTAAAAGTCACAATTTTGCAGATTTATTATCCTAAGTCATCATTCACCTCTGCAACACCACAACTTCACAAACATCTACATCCTCTGATCACCAAACATTTACACTACATAACACTCTTTGAAATACGTTTTAATCCTGCATAAAGCTCCCGGTCCAAATTCCAAAGCATCACTCAAACACAGTTCACAAACACATTAAAACAAAAACATGGACTACATGTTTACGAGGACAGAAAGATGAGTCTGAGCATTTTAAGGACGAGTTTCTGATCCAAAATAGAGCTACAGGTCGAGCACATTATGGCCTTATTTGAAAAGTGAAATCTGACAAGAGAATAAAATAACCTTCTCTGAGTGGATGATGAGTCTTTTGGAGTCAAATATACAATTTTTCACACCCACATCATCCAAAACCCCCAAGATGTTTTCCAACATGTAAAACTCTTTATAATGAACTGACTCAAAGCATTGCCAAACAACATCTCATAACAAAGCCTCATAAAAATGTGTGGCCATCCTCAGTTTGTGAGGTACTACTTCAGAGGACAAAAATCAGGTCTGAGGCTGAGGCTGGTGAAAAATCAAACCCTCCATTCCCTCATGCCAGGGAATAACAAGGTACTCTCTTGCTCTAACCCCAGTGTTAAAGCTTAAGCACAATCCAGGTCTCCCAGCTGTAGATGGTGCTGTTTTTGCTGTGGGAGCCCACAGTGGAGGGTGGTGAGGGGCTGTGGATCCGTGCCCTTGTCTGTCTGTCCATCTCAGGTCTTGCGAGCTGATGAGGGAGAGTCTTAATCGTGTTTGCCCTTCCCTTTGGGCGTGCCTTCGTTCCAGGCCACATAAACAAACAAGGCCAAAACCACGTGCACGGCGAGCACTGCAACAATGGCTGCGTAGAAGTAGCTGTCAGAGCTCGACATCTTCATCGAACCTGAGAGGAGGAGGAGGCAGAAGACAGTTACCAGAGAAGACATGGCGAGTTTTTTTAAGTGTAGAAAGAGCAGCCAGACCAAGATCCTTTTTTAGGTTACAATAAATTGGGATGAGCTTTAACTGACTGGAGAATCACATAAAACGCAATTTCTTAAAATTCCGGTGTGAGAGTCTTTTTAGAGATTTTATTCTGTGCTCCCTAACTCTGAGATACCGTTTGGGGAGAAATATTACAAAGAATTACACAACAGTTTGCAACAACCAAGTACTTTTGATGTATGAAAGGCATCTTTTGAGTGTTTCTGTAGAAAACCACATAACTGGAATATTCAAGGAAATGTATCTCTTCTATATAGGCCTAATTAGTGTCACATAATTATTACAGCCAAGCCTTCTTCTAGATCAATCAAACTGGTATTTCAGAAACACATGCAACCACAGCTGCTGTCCACAGGCTCGTATTTTACTGGTTGCACGACAAATTGAATTACAAGGATGAATTAACATAACGGAAAGTAGCCCGTCAGCTGAACCATTCACAGACACGCAAGACAGTAACAGTTCAAACTGTCAGTGTTGTTTGTAAACAGACAGGTTTCAGGGAAGCTGTGGGACTAGTTTTGTTTGCTAATTTAAATAAATTATTAAGTAAATAAAAAAATTGTTATCTAGCAATGTCCATTGCTCTTACTGCTGCAGCAACTACATCTTTTGAATGAAAGGAATATCACACTTGAGGTGGTGCTGTTGGACTGAATATCAGCACAGCTGTGAATGGATTCGACTGAACAGAGAGTGTAACCACAGCTGCACTGTCCTTTCAGAAAACCAGCACAAAATCAAGTGTGATAGAACAACTCTCGGTCAAATAGTGGGAGTAGTAGTATTAGTTTATATACAATGTGTTGGGCGCCATAAGGATACCCAGCCCACAAAGATAAAAAAAATAACACAAAAAAAAAAAATAAGTAAAATGATATAAAAGGAAGAGAACAGTGACAAACCAAATATTAGCACAAAGTTACTCCTGAGAAATCACACCTTTGTTCAAACCTTGTTTAACACTCTTCAACTTAAATATCTCATGTAAAAAAAATCATTTTTCAGAGCTGTTGGAGGCTTCCGTCGGTAAATGTGATAAACAATCTATTTTGTCAGCTATTCATGTTTTTCAGGCTCGTAATTGGACTCAACAGACATGGTTACTTTATCTCCAACATGGTTTCAACCCTTATGAGGTTTGTATGCATCAACAATTACAATGCAAACATTAAAAGGAATCGCTTTAAAAATGTACAAGTACCAGCTTAAATATTGGAATTTAATGGATATTGATTGTTACTTATTAGGCATGCACAATATGATTGGCACATCAGCCCATGATATAGGGGGGTAGAAGCTTCAAAAGTTTATCATCACTGTTGGCAGACAAGAAGATTCCTGCTGTGTTCTGTTGATATGCTGATGCATTAATTTTGCACACACAATAACAGCCTACACACAGCAACATAAGCTTTAAAAAAACTGTATGGAGGTATTTTGAAGTGTTTGGAGCAGACAGCAAAACAGCTATTTTTGTAGCTTAGCGTGCCGAGGTTGTCATATACACAACCAGAAGAAAACATTCAACATTTACCGCCCAATTAGTTTTGTCTTGTTTTTTTGTCTGTTTCTAAAACAAACTGTGGCAGTAAAAGTTACAAATAAGTTGTAGTGCAGGAGAAAATGGAATATATTGGTATCAGCCAAAATGAGTCTGAAAATATCAGACTTTCAGCCAAAACCCAGTACCTTGCATTCTCATCATTAATATTGTATTAACACACCTCTGTGTGTCTTTATCACCCTAGGAAAGACTTTCTGTTGTTTGGAGTCAAATGCTTAAAGGGATATTCGGGTGTAAAATTAATTTAGGGTCAAACACACCATAACATCGAGTTAGACACCTCCTCGAAAGATGAATGTTGTCGACCGCTTGCTTCTCCAGTTATACCAACTTTAGTAATGACCGCAGATAGCAATATACAGCGGTCTGAGGAGCCATAAACAAACCTCAACCAAAACGCCACTCTATAGCCACAAATAATGCTCAAAACAGCAACTAACTTCATGAACAGTACATATGATGTTCCGGCCATCGCACCAGCCACCAAACATCTTTTTTAACTTTGCCTGATTTCTTTAGCAAAGAGACTAAACACAACTCACCTACTCTCTTCCATCAGCTGCTTGTTTGTAGCAGAACCTCGGGCCAGTCCATTGGGTACTGCTGAGAGGTGACGTGGCTCAAGAAAGACCATTTATGACCATTTCTTTATCATTTCCTTGAAGTAATAATCACCATATTAATAATTTTGTACTGCAGACGCAGTAGTTCTTCTGCCTTAGCATCTCAGTCTGATTGTATTTCCATGAAGAAATTATCATAAATGTTTTTCCTTGAGCTGCGTCCCCCCGCAGTGGCCCATAATGGACTGGCCTGAGGTCTCCGTACAAACAAGCGGCTACTGGAGGAGAGTAGGTGAGTTGTGTTTAGTCTCTTTGCTAAAGAAATCAGACAAAGTTAAAAAGACGTTTGGTGGCTAGTGTTCTGGCTAAGACCCTATATGTTCTGTTGATTTACTTAGGTGCAGTTCTGAGCATTATTTGTGGCAATAGAGTGTTTTTTTTGGGGGGGGGTTGAAGTTTGTGTGTGGTTCTATAGACCGCTGTGTATTGCTATCGTGCGGTCGTTACTAAAATTGGTATAACTAGAGAAGCAAGCGGTTGACAACATTCATCTCTTAAGGGGGTGTCTGACTCTGTGTTATGGTGTGTTTGACCCTAAATTAATTTTACGCCGGAATATCCCTTTGATCAAGAACAGAGATTAGACTTGGAGAAGATGATAGGGACAGATGAACCTCCTCGTGAACAAACCAAATCAAAGTCTGAGGGTTTCATAGTCCTGCAAACACAAACAGAGTTATGGAGCCCACCCTCAAAGATGTAAGCCTTGGATGCAAAGTAGAGTCCGATGGGCAGGGTCACCATCAGGATGGTGAAGAACAGCAGTGTCTTGAGGGCTGAAACCAGGGAGCCTTCATTTCTGCAGAGGAGCACAGTTTCATGTGTCAGCCCATATAAACACACGACACACAGAAGAGGAGCACAGGCACGGTAACATGCTGACTTATACTGAGGATATGTCCGCTGGTCATGTCTAATATTGAGGTTCAGGATAATGCCACATCAAATCAAACTCTTTCGAACTTTTGCATCAGTATAGATGAGAGGAGGATATCCAGGCCAGTCATATACGCACAGAGCAGAGATATTAGCACGCTAAGCTACAAGGCTAGCCAGCTAAGTCAGCTTTTTGAGTATTAAGTTGGTCGGTTCCTCACCCTCTGTAATAAGCTGGCGGTCCAGCGTTAGAGTCCAGAGATGCTTTGACAGAGCCGTCCATTTCTGGGCTGGTAGGAGATAAGATAAAGTTATGAACTTAATTTCTAACGGGTTACAGATATAACGTTTCTGCGTTGTGTTGTCACTGGCTGAAATCTTCTCTTCCGCATTGGATCATGGGACCGTCACATGACAAGGTTGGACGCCACAAAGTCTCGCGAGGTCAGATCTGAAACAATCGCCAAAGCCAGCGTCGGGTATCGCTGAAGTAAAGTATTTGTTTTCTCTTTTAATAAACCGCGAGCTTCAGACTTTTACCACCATCCAAACAATGTCTGCTTTGTTTCTGGGACCTCCTCCTCTTTGAAAGGTTTGAATCAGGAGGAAGTCTTCAAATGTAGGCTGTAATGTCCTGCTTACTTTTTGGATAATTACCCATTTTAGGGGTTTTCAAAGCTCTACAAATAATAAAATAAAATAAAATAAATAATAATAATAATAATAATAATAATAATAATAATAATAATAATAATAACAACATCATCAACAACAATAACAATAATAATAATAATAATTATTATTATTATAACAATAATAATAATAACAATAATAATGATGCTAATAATACTAACATCAACAACAACAACAACAATAATAATAATAATAACAATAACAATAATAACAATAATAATAATAATAATAACAATAATAATGATGCTAATAATACTAACATCAACAACAACAACAACAACAACAACAACAATAATAATAATTATAATAATAACATCAATAATAATAGTAATAATACAATTGACAATAATAGATTACAGATTAGATTAAATAAACTCCATTGAGTTGTGGGAAGGTTCCCACAAGAAAATTAAAAATTATTCATGGTTATAAGTGTAATACTAATAGCAATAATAATATTAGTAAAAATGAACAAATATTTTAGGGGAACTGTTTATTTAGATTTTCAATGATACAGACATTTATGATCAATGTTGACAATTCATCTCCAATAACAATGAAAGGGCCACTTGTTTTTATGATGAGTCATAGCTTTCATCACAAAAATACTGTGATATAGGTTTTGGCGATACTAATCTGAAATTAAAAAATGCATGAACAATGTTTTGACACATTTCTTTTGACTTTTGTATCAAGTACTGTTGATGAACAAATGACAGCACAAAAAAACAAAGATCCTCATATTCTCCTCATAATCTGTTTCACTGTCTTCTTCAAGACTCCCTATAAAGAGCAGGTTCAGACAGCTAGTGGAGGATTACACATATAAAGACCATAACACTGCATCTTAGAGTTTTTTGTACCATTATTTTGTGCTTCCCCCAGCGTGCAGATGCAGGGTTAAAGTGTTGGGAGGATGCAGGTTCTAAGTGGTGCTTAGATTATACTGTAATACATAATATTGTATTATGTTTATATTTTTGTGCATGGATGTGTGAGCCTTTGTCTGTACACACGTTTTTGTGAGTGAAACTCTGTGAAAGCAACATAAGTGAAACTTCCTGTTTGGGTAATCCAAGAATGTGTACTGCCTTAAAATTCTAATGTTTACAATTACTTTAAACAAACAAAATTACATATTTATCACTGAAGCATTTTATAAACCAGTTAATGGTCATCATGAAATGATGAAATCACAAGTTCTTAATGTATCAGCAAGGTTAAAAGCCATTGTACTGAAGTAACATTGATCTTTGTTGACAGTAAATACACATTTTTCCACATTAAATCAAAATGTTTTTTTTGTTGTTGTCCAATCCTGACACATCACTGTCCATTTCCCCCCATTCCCATGCTGGCTCTATAAATAGAATGAGAGGTCGGATGGTTTTGCACGTGTATGTTCATCGTTCAAGCATCAATTTGTTGCAGCCTTACATAAATTTAATCTTAAGTGAAAACATGATGTGACATAACCCTTGTGTCTCCAGTGGCTGTGTGTGCACAAAGCACATGGAACGTATGCCTGCCTCATTCCTTAATAATGCAACACTGAAGGCGATTTCTCGTCTAATTGCAGATATAACAGAGCTGTTTAGTCCGTTTCGCGCTGACTGTATACATTTAGTCTCATGCAAAGATTGTGCGTGGTTGAAGTCTCCCTGGGTTGAAGTCTGAGGAGTGGCTCTTTCTGCTCCAGTTGGCTTTGCTCTCACCGGTCTCTCGCTCAGCAGGTCCCCACCCCCACCCCCTACCCCCCCAAAAATAAAGTAAGATTGAAGAAGAACTGGCTACAAGCACGGTCTAGAGGTTTTGTGCCAATGCAGACCATAACATTTAAACATTTAATTTTCTGAGCCTGTCATTTTTAACGAGGCCTTTTAAAAACTGACAGACACGAGGTCTCAAAAATCCTCCTTTATTTATCTGACCACCATATCCTGTGTGTGCAGGGCCTATTTGTTGGCTAACGCATCAAACCAAATGCATCTTGTCTTTAATCTGTAATCCATGTAGACTACTGAGCAAATGTTATTGCCCTCTGTATCAATGCCTTTTTTCATGCGCTCTATGAATGGCCTGTTTTCTTCTCAAATGGCTTTGCTGCTTCAACCCTTGAAAGATCAGGGGACATAATCTATTCGATATTTATGTATGTATCCAATTGCATGTCGCTTTTAGGAGATTAAATGTGTTACTCACATAGTTTTATTTGTTATCTTAGAATTACTTTTCAATAAATCAGACTGTCCACATGCTACATGCAGCTCATCACAGTATATGAATCATCAGTCATCAATTCAACTTATTTGATAGCTAAATAAATTACGTTTTTCACATGCTGCTACAGCCCCCTTTTCTCTGAATAAATTCTGGGTAATAAATATAAAATAAATAGTGACCTCTTATTATAAGCAGGGCATCTGTAATTATTTCAGATTAAAATCACATCCTGCCAATACAGAGGGGTTGTATTTTGTCTGGAAACAGATGCAAAACTCAAAATTAATTAGAGGAGTTTATTGCAGTGAGCTTTGGGAATAGATGGAAAACCACAGAGCATGGACGGGTTCAGTCCAGTGTGATGGGATTATAAATTTTAATAAAACATCAGCCTCCAAATCTGGAGTTTGACAAAAAGCAGTGTCCTCAGAGGAATAACAGTTTGTGGATCTGGTCAAAGGGTCTTCCATTGCAAGTTTTATACTAAATTCTCTTTCCTCATGGACCCTGACCTTTGACCTCCTGGGAGTATTTCCCATGGCTCTCTCTGTGTGGACTCCCCGAGCTATGCCTGTTGCATTCCTGGTGTCACCAGTATTCCATGTCAAGCACGAAGCCCTTCACACACACACTGCACACACCTGTTGTTTTGACCGAACCGTAATCCGTCCTTCAGGAAATACCCAACGTGTCAGACCTATCACTATCAATAAAGTTTCCATTTGAAAACACAGTGTTAATTAAAACTGTTTAAAATAGCTTTCGGCTATTATTAGCTTTGTCATTTCCTGGTTTGGCAACTGCTGCTGACAATGTTGAGTTATTCTTTTTAGCCTCTATTCACTCCAAAAAAGTGTAAAAATCTAATACCACACAGCAGCGGATGGTTTCCAGATCCGTTTATTTGTTTTTTCCACTTAAGTTTGAGGTATTAGTCACTTTTATTTTAGAAATTCATGCTGCTTAATTCTCACAATACAGATGTTTCTTGTTTTTTCTCCTTATGAATTTATTTGAAAAAAGCTGCTGAGATGACAGGCCTTAAAAATATGCAATAATATTAAATATTTTCATTTATTATCTTATTTGCTTTTGTAGCTTGTAGTACACTCATAGTTTAAATTTCATTATTATTGTCAGTTTAGCGTTTTGTGTTTTATACTTTTTTTTTTTATAAATACTGCTATCCTGTATTTTCCGTATTGCAAAGCACATTAAGCTTCTTGTCATATTCTCATTGAACACAGAGGAGATCATTAAGATGCATTTAAAGCGTCACTATACTATTTTCATTCATACAAACATTGGTTGTACTCTGAAATATTGTTGATTACGTTATAAATGTGAAGTTTCAGAGAGAGATTTTTTAAAAATATATCTAATCAGATAGGCCAAGCAAATGCTGGGAAATTCACTGAAAACAGCCAGAATGCTTGTACTGTTAGTTTATGGTGAGTAACAAGAATAAATGAGACACACTGATTTGTATAAAATCATTATTTAGTGTATATGAAACCTGACTACTGGAGTAAAGTTTTTATTCAATGAAAATATCTGTCATGACATTTTTCTGTGGATTAGGTTGTTTGTGATATAAAATTTAAATGGCAGATTTCCTTTGGAAAATTTCAAAAGGGCCACAGAGGCTATTGCCGGGGTGTGTACATTTTGACGAGATTCTTTGGAGAGTTCAGAAACAAGATGCACACCTACAACAAACATTTCTTTTTTTAAATATTACTTTATACAAACAAAAAAGAAAGAAAAAAAAAGGAGCTGAGCAGTAGAGCAGTTTGAGGTTGTATCTACTATTATACGATGAGATAACTCAAATAATTGCTCTCTTTTTATTTTTTTTTATTTTCAGCTTGTCCCATTGACTTCAGTGCAAAATTCAAAAGATTTGCGCTGTAAGTCGCAAGACATTTGTATGCAATAAAGAAATAGAGAAAAAAGTCATAGTTCAGTGATATCGATCAAACCACACGTTTCGATATATGATTAAGTGGGATTGCAAAGCATTCCCACGATATGTTAATCATATCTTTATTTGTCCTACAACTTTTCAAGCTGCAGGACTAGAAACAATTAGAAATGTGTGCAGAAAAAAAATAAGAAAAAATCCACAGTAATCTTTTACACATTTTTGTATAGGGGTCTGCTGTAAAATTTATAGCATCTCTATTGCTTAGAGGCCAGGGTCTCAGTGCATTTCCCAGCGGCCCAAATAAGGATTTTGATTAAGAGTCAACATTTTATCGTTATCAAATTGCTCTAAAAGTGATTCAATGATGGAGAGATACCAGAGCAGTCCCTGATTAGTAAATTGGTCTCAGCTGTGGGCCTGGCCTGAGGCTCACAGGTTGCCACGGCAACTTGAACTGCTTACCCATGATGCTAGACCATAGACTGTAGATAGAACGGACGCTGTCTGCCTCCTTGTTGGGTGAAGCCACCCCAAGAACAGCACCCTCTGGTGACGGGCTGCAGTATAGGTCATAAATCCCGCCTCCTTCAGCAATCCTTATGGAGCTGTGGACAAACTTTAGAAATTTATTACACAGAATATAAACTTTTCTCCCCCCTGCTTGCGATGTTGACATGTAGTTACTGTAAGACTGATTTGTGCTCAAGTCCTCTTTTTTCAGTGCAGCTCAGAAGGGGGTTCATGTTTTCTATGATTGACACTTGATACAGCCTATTGGCATTCAGGGATTGCGTAGCTCACCCGGGGGATACGCTGTTTGAGGTGAGCGTCATCACAGCGACTCTCCCGCCAAATGGGTACACTGCTACTGCGCAAGTGGTGGTTTCAGGAAGTGGAGAAAATCCCAGAAATACTGGGAGCAATTCGGCTTTTAATTTGTGTAATGATGGAAGGCAGAGCCAAGTTGTCCATAGTGTATACAGTCTATGTGATAAACGTACCGCAGGCTGAGAAGAAAAGAGGGATTTTTTTGCTTTGGCAGTGGTCTCACATTTGAGCTTATTCTGACGAAACAGTGGCTCCTATCAGAAAAAAAGCAGACATTGTAAGAACTTCTGAATTTGTGGATGCAGCAAACTGTATTTACAGACAAAAGATTTTGGAGTTGAATTTGAGCCCATGCAATGATCTCCATTACGGAGTCCTGTTTATTTGTTATGCAGGGTTACCCGAGGGCCCCACACGATCACAGTCATACAGAATGAGTTTACAGCCTTGTCTTTTTTTTCTTGCTTTTCTTAATGAGGAACAGTCTCCCAAAACTGTTAAAGTTTTTGAACCTGCAGTCTCTCACAGTCTTTTGCTTTTGTTTTAATATGTTTGCTGGTATCAAATTGAAAAATGTGAATATATTTTTCATAAAACAACAACATTTCTCAGCTTTGATGTGTTATCTCTGCACCATTTTAAACTAATAATCTGACTGTAAAACTCACCACTACCCCCCTTTCCTGCTTTCATTGTCTTTCCTCGGAGCCTACACCCAAAATTCACTTGGTAGCGTTGTGACCCACAGCCCTTTTGGATGTGTAGGAACACATCATATGCATGAGAGGACAGGCAGTGCTAAACCCGATGCACAAATCCATTAGGAGACTTGCTATCGGGGCAGCGGACCCGCTGTGAGACCCCCCCTGTTATAAAATGCAATGATGTGCAAGAGCTGTAGAAATTCCTCAGTGTGAGGAGGGGAGTTGTGTCTGGATTCATCTAGGCGAAAAACATCATGTCATGTTAGTGTCTGCCCATGTAATTCCTCATTCCTCATCTATTCTGTTTTAACCAGATTAGAGGCAGTGTTCTGGCTGTCACTGTGGAAATCATCTTTATCTCCCACAAATGAGAATTTCTTTCTTTGAGGCCTCTCCCATTTGCATAGCACCAAGAAGGGTGGAAAAAACAAGCACAAAGAAGAAACATGAACGTGGAGGGAGTGCAGTATCATGTCTCCAGACAAATTTAAGTGTTTCCATTTTGTTTGGTCCAGTTTAGGTAATACATTCACTCAAAGAGCTCTGCAGATCATAGTGATATATTAACCACAAAAGTAAGACAAGGATATCTGTCTTGTATCTGATATATTAAAACAGAATGATAAAACTTATGACATTAGACTCTGGCAGTGTACAGGGATTTATGAGATGACTTGGCTGGAAAAAGCTTTGCTGAGATAAAGAGAAGAAGCAGCCAGAGCAAAATCAAATGGAGTCAATGTTAGGGAGAAACTACAGTGTAAACATCATTCTTAAGCCATGGAGAGATGCAGTCCCCATATGGGGAAATTGGCAAAATACTGTTATGATGGATCTTATAGCCGGGTGTGGCATGGATAGATCATGCTGTCCTTGAACAAACTATGAGAAAACGGTCTCCACATACGATGGCCCTTCATATTAAATCACAGGCCAAATGACAAATCATGTGGTTGAAAAGACCAGTCATGTCCGCTCTCACTCATGACCCCAAATTGCATTTCTCATTTATCTACACTCAGTGGACCAATTTCATTGGCGTCTTTGAGGGAAAAAAGTGTCAAACAGGAGATATCTTTCCCTTGAAATCCACTTTCAGTCTATCTGAAATTGGAAGAATTCTTTCAAAAACAGGCAATATTAGGCTTTGGATATATTCTACAGATAAAATTTTAATTCATGGAAAAGTAAGCACTGGCATTAAATTTTGCTTATAAATTCTCAGATGACAGTATCTTTGCTGGTTTTTGCTCTGAGAAACTGATATCATTGTGAGTTCATGCATGCCTTGTAGCCAGCCAATAGCTGTTAGATCTCCATTAGCCTTAAAGGTTAGCATTCTCGCAGCTCAGCGTCTTTTTATTAAATTACACTGAAACACTCTGGAGTAAAGAGCCAAGATTCTTTGTAAAAAAACAAAAAACAAGATACAATAGAGGCCTGTGTCCCCCTTCCCATCAATACTGTTAAAAATGGTGGCACTATTTAATACAAACAGTTCAAAGGCTACTAGGACCCACTGAGGAGAAGACAAGCTGTAAGTTTACACGCACAGTTGAGTCAAGTCATGGTTTTAGCTTTATAAGGCGATTTAACTGGAAGACAGTCCAAGTCCCAGTTTACAAGTACTAGGCATAAATCAAATAATTGACAAAAGCATGTCCACCTCCTCTATAATAGGTGGCATTATGTTTCTCTTCAGCTTCTTACTATCTGCTTGTCTCCAGGCTGACATATCAAAACAGCAGGAGCCAAACAGGATGTACACCAAATGCTGAAAACACTGACTCTCTCACAACTCTGTGCCGTTTCTTTGTACGATAAGAATTTTTTTCTTCATCTGTTGGGGTTTTGTTCACGACCTGCTTCCTAGCAAGGCATCACCTTAAAGCCCATCTGGGGCACTGGGGCAAGTTTAGGCCAGTTTCAGTTTGTAGGAGCCGCATACATGACATGAGAAAACCCATTTATAACCACATTACTCATGTATGTTTGTCTGGTGATGAGAAGTTGGATTTGGTGTGATTTCAGACAGGCTAACATGTTTACATGATTTTTAAAAGTCCAGTTTGAGTCAGAGTAGTGAAAAATATCAACGTCTTTGAACATGTACCGACTGAATGACAATCACAGATTGTATCAGACATCTGTCCAAGACGCCAACAACGTAAGTGCAATGCTCAAGTGACTTGGACAACACTTTTTGTCAGCTGCCAGTAAATATGGGCTCTGGAGTAATACAACTACTTGGTCCAAGTTTTTAGTTTGTTAAAATTGTGATAAGTTGCAGGTGGGTTGCAGGTTTATGCATCAAGCTGGAATTTAACTGGTGATTTAAATCCCTAGACACACAATCAGATCAGTCAGAATCTAATGTAGATGAATAAATGTGTTTGCTACACATCCCAAAAATCCCACACACTCAGTCAAGGTTTATACAGAAAATGTTTGGAGTGAGACGACAATCCTCCTCATAAATCTTCATGTAATGGAGACCTGACTGGATTTGGATTCTTCTTCAGTGACAGACTAAACTTGGACTCACACACTAAAGTGTTCAGACTCAGCTCAGTAACTCGACTATGTAGGCCCATACACAGTTGTTTCCTTAGCTTTATATTTGCGGCTTCACATAACACTTTATTTTTTCCAACCAATGTGGGCAGCACTGATCTTTCAGGACAAACTAAGAGAAGACCAACGCAGTGCATCAGCTGTTATATTTCATGTGAAAAGGGATATTTTGGTTGCCTTATAGATGTCTAAATCAGGAAAACGCTTCTACAGGTTAAAGAAATGATCAGAAGATACAATAAAACTAATTAAATATTCAATATGATGTCTGTAGGGGGAAAGAAACAATGAAAATTTGTGCTCAAGTTCACTTTTTTGGATTTGGGTGAATGAACTCAAAATATTCTGTAAGGTTTTCAGGGGCAGGGACATGGTGAAACCCAAAGGAAACATACAAGAAAAGAGTCCAGCCACTGTCACCTATCTGAACCATCTCTGAGGCCACTCGAGTTTTTTTGAAGGAGTACAATATCAGACTGTTTCTGAAAAATGTTTCATTTTTTTCCCCCATATTTTTGTCCTTTTAATGAATATAAAAAGAGAGACATAACTGGCTGGCAGTCAAGCCTTGGTGGGCAGATCTGAATATTTCATTAGAACCAGGCTGGCTGTTTTCTCTCAAAGCTAGGCTAAGATTAATCATCGTTTGGGAGAAATTTTGACTTTCTTGTCTTGTTCTTGGCAAGAAACCCTTAAAAGTATATATAAACCAAGGTGTCAAATTATTCTTTCATTGAGAAAGATAAACAAAATCAGGTAAAAGGCAGCAAGATGAAAATAATGATGAGTAGAGGGTGACATGAGGAAGAATGATGACCCTGCTATTAGTCTGTGACTCTTAGGTGAGGTACAGCCAACTCTGTCATCTCCCCTCGAACCGTTTAGCCACTCATCTGTAGTCGACCTTGGACTGGCATGTGGGATGCTTCTTACTTCCACATCAGAGATGCTGTCTTGTAGAATAGCAGAGAAATACGAAAGAGTTTACTCCCATTTGATGCTAAAGAACCCGTCTGCACCAGGCTGAGTGTCCCAGCACTGATCCAAGATCCATCATGGATTGAAATCCCTGTTCCTGTACACCACTGGTAATTTATCTAGGGATTTATTTAGTCAGACAGCAAGCAGACTTTCCTAATTTAGCTTTGGCAAACTCTAAAATCAGAGTATGGATCAAAAAGCAAAGGTTTAATACACTAAGATATTGATGAATGATTTGAAAAAGACATCTGGAATGTCTAATCTTGTAAACATTACAGTTGCAGTGTTTCAGATCAAAAATGCGTCACGTTGACAAATTCAAGACGCCCTTTGAGGTGAACCACTCATAGTTTGTTTGTCTGGCTGGACTTGTGCAAGGAGGTTGTCAGAACTCATCTCTGCTGGTGTGACATGGACAGGCACACTCACACCATCAGGAAATTGGTCTCTGGCTCCTGATATGTAAAAATGTCCCTACGGGCATTTTGTAAACACAAGAACTCGTCTTACCGTCAGCCCTTCTGCTGTGCCCCTAATTTTAGGACTGAGGTTTTTTAACTTCAGTGAAGGAAGCCCTGGAGCTCGAATCTTTTAGGCCCATAATCTGGTACATGGAGCACATAGTTTAAATAGTTGATTAGCAGTTTAGCTGAACACAAGACAGCCGTGTAAGAATAAGTTTTGACACCTTCCTCATGTCCACATAAAACTTTTCTGACATTTGTTGTTCTTTTTCTTAATTTCGACCTGAGTAAAAACACTCCCATAAGATTTCAGGGTGTTTTGTGCTACCATTACCACTCAAAAAAACAAGCCCAAGGGTGAAACAGCAGCATTAAAACAGTCTGCATACCAAGTGAGAAACAGACTGAGATATTCATTCACGCTGAACATGAATTATATGATACCATAACCACAATTTTAATATCCCTGGCCTCTATAATCCAAATACAAGCATTGAGTTCCTAGTAAACGAGCATTAAATGAAAAGGCTTCAGTTTTAATCTTACATAAGATTAAATATTGCGTTAAAGAAAAACAACCAACCTCCAGTTTTCCATTATTAACACTGCTTTTATAAACACGGACACACAGTGGCAATAGAAAATACATGTAGTTTCTTCTCACTATGTTGTTGACAATCACATAGTCAATTTGTGCCAAAGTAAGTCATTCCTCTGCACATGATATGGTAAAATCTATCATCCAATTAATTATCCACAGAGTATTTACCATCAACTTGATCAAATCGATTGAAATAGCCTCCAGGTCATGAAGTGAAAGCAGCCTGGAACCGTCTTAAACATGTATCTTTCATAATTACCTGCACAGGGTGACTTGTTGCACAAAGAAGGCTGACTGTGTAAAGACTATGAGATCAAAATAGACTTGAACTAAATTTGCTACCATTGTAAAAAAAACAGTCCAAAATAAAAATGCTCATGGTCTTATTGTCAAGTTTAGTTCTTCTCTAATACAGCATAAAAATAGATATGCAAATCACAGTCCCATTTAAATAGATAATAAAATTATACTCTGGGGCATGGTTTTCTTGTGACTCACTGTTCCTAACAGGGTGACCTTGCGTAAGAATAGAAATACCAAAGTCTATTTGCAGCACTGTACATATTTTGTTATTAAATGTGTTATTCGTGTCAAGCCTCAGACATCTTATTGTGTGTTTCAAACCAATTCATCTGGTGTAACTGAGACCTCCTGCTCCTCCAGTGCTTGTTATTCGGAGCTGTTTTGTTCAATCTGGCCAAAACAGGCATCCATATCCCTGTGAATGTTGCTTCACCAAGCTAGCTGGCATTTGCTAGTGTTGCTTTCTCCTCTAAAGGACTGGACCTAATCCTGACCCTGTTCTTTTATAATGCAGTCCATAGTGTGTCCTGATAAGCCAGGAGAGCCAATAGGTCCTATACAATGTTTCTACCCGGGGGACCCCTTTTCATGTCAAGCCGCAACCTCAGGTGTTCAGAAGTGAGGCCAATATGGAAGTACACACAATTACAGTTCCTCGAATGTCCACTTGAGGATGGCTGCAAAAACCTAAAAAACACCTTAATGTCAAATTTTGAAATGCCTGTAAATTAACATTTACAGCCGAGCTGAGATGACTGACAGGTGGGTTGCATTGTAGCTTCCTGCCAGGAGGCTTAAACTTACTATTAGCACCAAATGTTTGCTAGTGATCTAGGTTAAACAAAAGTTGGGTTGAGCATTTCCAGTATAGCATCCTCCATCATTACACTTCTGAATGTGTCTTTAGAAACCAATAGGTAATGGCACAGAGCCTACATCCATGTTTTAAACAGTCTATGATTCATGTCCAGGATGAAACCAGACTTCATTAATGACTTAATATTTTGACCAGAACCACTGTTCCCTACAGTGTTCAATGTTTCTGTGGTGGTTAGCTGTGAAGCATCACAGTCTGATCATGCAGCCTACTTGGTTTGGCATAAATTTGACATTGGAGCTGCGTTATGTTCTGTGTGATGCATTGAGCACATGGCTCTAAAGCTACTCAACAGAAAGCCCCGATAGCTACGTTTGAATCAATCAGTAGATAAAAGAGTGGCATTAGCATTACTACCTAATGACTGTTGACCGCATCCTCCCTTCTTGATTAAGTATGGTTCGGCTACAATGAGGGGACAGACGCCAATGAGACGGACGAAGATGGGTGATGTTAGGATGGCAAAGATTTTTTTGAAGTAAGTCTCTTGATCCAGGATTCAAATGTATTTCAGTAAATATGTATTTTATTCTTTCTCTTGACCATTTTGTTGGATGGTGTGTGAAGCTAACATAAAAGCACAGAATGTACCTTTGATACCATTGACATCTTTTTTTTTAAGTAAGGGAACAGTCTGACATGACATAGAGAAAAATGATGCACTTCAGTGTCCTCATGATTGCATCTTTAAAATGGTACGTATCTTGTGAAAAGGCACTGGATGAACAACATGTCACGCATCCATGATGAGTTTCCATGGAGCTTAATCTAAGTTTCTCAGTGAAACACTGGATTATACATTAATCTCTGCAATATTATTGTTTGTTACAGCCGGTGAAGGCTTACTTTTGAGTCCCTCTGTGGCACACCTGGATGTCTCAATAAGGAGCAAGCGTGGGATACAAAGAGCAAGAAGTATTGTCTTGTACTCTTTACGGAAGTTTTGGTTAAGAAGTCCATATATGATGGCATTGAGACAGCTGTTGAAGTATGCCATGAAGTAGCTTGTAACAAAGAGCCACTCAGGTATGTTTGGTGCTACTTTGACGGGATTTATAGCTACAGCTAGACCTATGAGGTTAAGTGGAGCCCAGCACACTGCAAACAACACAAACACCATAAACATAGTCAGGAAGTTTCTCACATCGCTTGGTTTTAGCTTAGTCCTTTGCTCCGGTTTGACACGATGTTTCACTTGTATTACCAGCACCCATATCCTCATGTAGCAGTAGGACACCACCAGCAGTGGGATAAGGAAGTGAATCACCACCACTGATATGGTGTAGTACGAGCTGACTGTCTGTGCAAATGTGCAGGAGTAGATACGAGGATCGTACTGCAACGATCCCACAAAGAAGTTCGGCACTGTGGCAACAGCGGTGAGCAGCCAAGTGAGGCAAAGGTAGCAGCAGGTATTCCTCAGGCTGTACAAGCGGTCGTAGTGAAGGCTGTGGCAGATGTAGCAGTAGCGGTTGATGGCGATGGCTGTGATGTTGAAGATGGATCCTATGACGCTGAGGCCCATGATGAAGCCGCTAGCCTGGCAGTGTAGGTCACCCATGGTCCAATCATTGTGGAAGATGGCTGTCAGGACCAAGGGGTAGGGGTACAAGGCCACCACCAGGTCTGCCACCGACAAACTCACTACAAAGATATTGCCTGAAAAGAAACAACAGAATTAGATTACAGACCAAGCATGACCTGAAAGGGTGTATAAGAGCAGACAGTACTCCCTTTCATTCTCTGCTCTGTGATAAATTACTTAAAACAAACTAGGTCACTCAGGGTCCAACTTTGACTTCGCATCATAAAAGAGACACTTTTTAAATGTGGCTTACAACGTCTTTTGGATTCAGGCAAATGCTTTGATATGAAAGCTCTCAGTGTAGCAACTCCTGTCTCCCCACTGGCACTGTTTTGAAACCCACATATTTTCCATCTGCGCTTGTGGCTACTCAGATGGCAGTGGTGGTCTATCAGCTTGTCAGAGCACACTGGTCTAAGTGTCTCTACTATGTTTATTATGCCCAGAGGATAAATATCAGGGACTGTAGCACGATCATGCAATCAGGTTAAGACCTGGAGTGAACGGGCCTTTGACTGCAATGATCAGGCATCCATGTTTTTCTCAGAATGGATTTCATAAAACTCCATTAACAAAGAGACCAACTATAGACCACAAGACCCCTTTGGTTTGTCCACTGTGGACTACCATTTGAAGCCTTAATCAAAAATGTCTGTCCAAACAAAGTTTAACTTATACCGGCTGAAGTGTCTGAACTAGTATGATGGTATATTTGCATCTAGGAATCAGACTTGATAAAAAAAGGGTCTCTGTGTCCATAGCTCTCAAGTGAAATGGGCCTGCAGAGATGCAAGGATGAATAGTCATAGGTATCAACAGAGGTAATCTAGGGCTTGTTGATAATGCCTAATTTAAAAGTCAAGAATTTTGTCATTTGCCAGTAAGTTACATTCAGTGGTAGCAACTTGATATCCAGATGATACCTGTTCAATTTTACACAGCTGTGGCCCGCAACTGAAAGTGAGATCACAACTATGAGGAAAAGTTCAAATCAGCAAACAAGTAGAATTTTCTCATGTGGTCACATTTAATGCGATCTACTTTACGTCTTGTGCAGCATCCCCCTGCTGGCCATTAGGAGTAGTGCAGGCTGAGGCACTTTCAAAATGTCACTTGTTTTTAAACCAAAAATGAAATCAATTTAAATTAAACTGCCTATAAATCAAAAGTCCCTTACACACCACAAAGGGCAACTGGCATCAGCTGTAGCTTTTGCTTTGTTGTAGTTGACAAATGAAAGCTAGCTAACACGATACACAGTGAAGTTGGGAAATAGCTAGATAGCACACTGTACATAATTTAATTAGCATTCATCTCAATGCAACATTGGAAAAAAACTGCAGTCTTCCAGGATCTCTTGGTTGTGTGTCTTTGAGTCTTGCATGAAAATTCAAATCATGCTTCCTTGCATATGACCCCCGATTTTTCCAGTGAAAGACACAACTCATTTAGTCCCTGTCAACATCATTTATCTGGAGGATCCATCCTGATAAAAGGCTCAAGTGCAGCTGCTATAATGCTTCCAGAAAGCTGAACATTGGCTTTAAGTGCATAAAAGTCAGGGCATAGGCGATTTTATCATCATATTACATCCTAACGAGTTCAGGCCCCGTGTTACAAACTAATAATGGTAATGTTAAACTGGATCTTTACAGAGAACAAGAATCATAGAAAATGACGTCTGATATTGGTACACTGCAGATGGTCTGGGTGGAGGAGAATGTAACATCAAATTAAACTGTTGTTTTGTAAGATAGAGAGATAGATAACAAGAGCACAAAGTTGAGCCACAACACAATTGATTTAGGATTTCACAAAATGATGAAGTGAAGATTTGGCACAAATAAACGACATATTTGGCCACATTGAGTACAGTTGACCCAGCCCTCTAGAGATAAAAGTTATTATGTAACTTGTTGTTCATGTACTGAGAAGCACCAAGGTGATCTACATGAAAAAAAAAAAAAAAAAACGTTCCCAAAAAAATGACCACATACCGCTTTTTCTACCCTCACCACCATTCACGCCTGTGTCTCATACAACATTGCTGGTTTTGATTTAAACGTGTGTTTTCTGCAGCCTGAATGACATATACAGGATAATGAAAACTGGCCCCATTTCACCAACAGCTTTGGTCAGACATTGGGTTGATCCAGGGGTTGATAAAACATAAACTAAAGTTGAAAAGTGAAGGCTCAGGGCTCTCTCTCCCTCGCTCACTCAGACGACAGCTGAAACAACAGGGTTGATTGGCAGTTTTGATGGGAGTGGATTTAAAACACATGTCCACGATCAATCCTCGGCATTCAAAGCTTGTTTTAATCCCTGCACCCCAGAGACAACACAGCTACAGTTTGTTGTTTAGCAACGGGTCTAATTTTAATTCACTTGGCTGAACTTGATCCATTAAACATGGTTTTAAAAAAGGCCAACAATGGATAGAGACTATATTACACAGAAACAAAAGCTTGCTATTATGCTTACTGAATTGAGTCCTTTTTGGTTTTGATTAAAAAAGACAACATGTGAGGGTTTCACATTTTACCACAGACCTGGCAGGTACTCGGCAGAAGACATTTTCCATGTTTCTAACACAGAATGAGCCCCCCAATCAAGCCTGCTGAGATAAAAATAAAAGCATTTGTTCTTCATCCCGAGTCAGCTCAGTGGGCAAATCTGTCAGGTTGTATTTGTGATGCTCACAGTGCGCGCTGCACATTTGTCATAGTGCAGAGGTTTGATTCCTCACTGACAACATGTGGCTTGGTGTTATCGTGTTTGCTGGCTGGGCGAGGCATGTTACGGCCTCGTAGCTCACTCTGGCTGAACCGTCTTTCCCCCCTTTTATCGTCGAGGGGATGAGGTAAGTGCTAAAACACCGCTGAGAGGATTGCTGAGCAGCAGCCAGATGACTGTCTTTTGTTTTGTTGGCATTCATTATTTAAACACTGGACGAACCATTACCTCTCTGCTGTTCGATTAACCAACTTGGCCGGCCTCATCCTTCTCACATCCAGCCCACGGCACACAAAACATTGTTGTTTGAGCATAAACAAGCAAAGACAAAAAGACGTCCTTTTTTCTAGACACCAGAATAGAACTGTGGTCAGTGATATCTTTCAGAGCTATTATTACCAACAAGTGTGAGTTGCATGGAGCTAAACCTAAATGCCAATTGGTTTAAGACCATCGGGGGGGACTTACTTGCAGCCCTTAACTTCTCTGACAACAGTGTCTCTGAAATGATGTGATCCCTTAGTGTAATCACGCTGTCAAACTAGTGAAATGTTGCATCGTTTTAACTGATCCTGGCTTTAAAGGTCCTCTGAGAGTCACCAAACCTCCTGTGAACTGTGTCTGTCACACAACATTCTTGGCAAGAGAAAAAAAAAACAAATGCAAACCAAACAGCTCAGAACTGACATGACATGTGTCACCAGCACACACCAGGCTGCAACATATCAGGAATAAATTCGACAGCAGCAGCAGCCTGCCACCCCACTCCTCATAAACCTGCATACCTGCATTTAAAATAGTCTTTTTGCGCAATGTGGGCATATTTATGGTAGATTGCCTCTTTCTAGTTTCTCTAAATCTAAATCTGATCATAACAATACAGGAAATAAAAGGGGAGTTATGCTGGAGCAAGAATAGCTACTTAATGAAGATGCGAGTGCAGGAGATAAATAAAAGAAGAGTCAAAACAAAAGCCTGATGGCTGAGTGGATTTCCACTCTGATGACTCCCACGGTTATGAGCACGAGTGAGTCTCAAGGGCTTAGGTTCCTGTGTCAAACCCAACGTCTGTATCCCATCACTCACACTGGAAAGATGATATACCACACTTTGATTCACACTGCTATATTTGCACACCTTTTTCAGAGGAAAGATGGGTTTACAAAATGTGTGGGAGGGTTGGCATCTCTTGAATCTAGCTGTAGAACTTGAGGCGCACTCCCAAATCAGATCACTTCTGATTTACTTGTTCATCTCGTCATAAATTATGAGGAATAACCTCTCATCAAGGATATTAGCAGTGATGAATTGATGCTGACTGCTTCATTAACTTGTTTCAAAGAGGCCTGGGATCTTCCTCTGCTTGCCAGGAAGTTTAACATTTTGACACAAGCTGCCTTTTGGTGATACAGCCAGGCCAAAATTATCACCATTATCATCAGACACCATCCACCAATCAGTCTTCACTTGTCTAAGAAAATAAGACTCATTGGGCCCTGAGAGGAGCAGACTATCACGACACAAGCAGTCCGACAGAATTTCCCTCTAAGGATGCAGTCCAGGAAGTAGGATTTTAATGTTGAAATATGATTCAAAGACACAGCTTCCTGCAGGAGAAGGTAAGAGCGGATGCAATGTCAACACAACCGCGTGTCTACTATATCTGTGTCTTTAAATCCAATAAGATTAACCTGATATCATCCTACCTACACGAGAAATTCAACGTCACGTGCTGTTGTGTTGTTGGGAAGAGAGGATATGTTTAATGTAGTGTGCTAAGTGATATTCCCCGAGGATCAGTGCTGTCAATGTAAATTGGCTTCTGGTTTGACTCACAAAGTCTGCTGACTCAATTAACCCCCCCGGACACTGTGGAGTTTAAGTTTTATTCATGACTGTAGACTGACTGACGGGATGCAGTGCATGGTTCACGAAAATTCAATCATCTCAGGACTCACAGCTTCCCCAAAACGAACTCACAGTCAGACTCATCTTTCCTTATTTCCTCCATCTCCGTCCTCCTCCTCTTCCTCCCCCTCGTTTTCTCCCTCATGACTGTATTTTCTGAGAGTATTTTTAGTATGGTCAACCCTCAGTGGGAAACTCAAGTGTTTACAGCCCATTGGCAATTCTATAGTGCCACGCTCTACGCTTTGAAGATTCACTCCTTAGATCCTGTTACATTTTTACACTTGAGAGGACCTGCAAACCTGTGACAGGGGAACATATTGCACCAATTCTCCTCAAATGTATTACGTAACGAGGAATATACTGCTCGAGAGATATGGCAGAATCTAACAAACGTGTGCACAAGCATGTGTTTTGGGGACTTGAGTGGTTGAGGGATATATGGAGGCAGCATGCAAGATGAGTGAAGTGAAGCGGAGTGGAAAGGTCCTGCTGCTGCTGCTGTGTCAGAGTCGGGAAAAGACAGAGAGGAGCTGGGATGTATTCAGCAGACTCAGAGATTCTACAAAGATACACCTCTGAGTGTCTGTAAATCACAAATTATCCCTCCATATATCACTCACGACTCTGTTTGTGGGCCCAGAGGATGTTATTGTATTATAGCGCGCCTAACAGCCCTTTACGAAACAGCCATCCATCACAAAATAAATTTTTACAGCACGCAGATCATCTACACCTGTTCTTCATTTGAGTCCGTGCTTTCCTTTCAGACGGTCTGTAGAATTAAACATTCATACAAAGTGAGCTAAACCTATAAATAGCTTGTCAGGAGCACAGAGGAGTTGCATGTGGGGAACAGCAGGAACAATTCCAGTCACTTAAGGACACACTCAAAAGAGGAAATAGAGAAATAAGGCTTCAAAGCTGCTATAGGAGTCTCATGTTTCTGCTCATATATGCTGACCAGCAGGGACATGGTGACACTGGCGTGGACTCTCGTGTGACTATGACTTCTCAGTCCATCCAATTAGAGTCCATGGAGAGGACATTTGAACGAACCTGCTCTCTTGTTTGAGACCACTGGACTGTGGCTTTTATTTTTCAAACCGGTTAATCAGATAATTCTCCGGACTCCTAAACTTCAGGCCAAACTGCTTTTGGCTGCTGTACACAGGAACACACATGTTATGTAACATGTTTCTAAGTGTAATTAAAAGCTCATTATTTCCAACACTTGTTGACCTAATCCTGCTGCCTGATTCATATGTTCTCATTAGCTTCATGTTGTGATCACTGGGTTTACTTTTTTACCTTAACAGCAAGCTCCCCGACTTTATTTTTAACCATTTAAGTGCTGGTTTATATGTGTGAATTCCAGCTGCAACATCATATCTATAATTTCAGAGACTCTTTCTTCTCGTAGTTCGTAGTTCCTGAGAGACATTTCATACAGCTCATTGTTTTGGGCTCATTTTTTTTGCAAAGGAAGTTTGGTTAGCTTTTTCTATATTTATGCAGCTGGAGAATACAACATGCCTTCTGTACACTTCTTCTATTTTTTTATAACTGCTTGTTATGTCACAACACCTGAAGGGCTACAATATTAGTTTTATCACTTAAATCATCATGTGGCTGTTTCTTATTTTGTCACTGTACTCTATTTATTTTTCCAAACCAGACAACAAACAACCTCAAAAATGATAAGACTAAAAATAGCATTTACTTTGGGATTTCACGGAAAATGCTCAGTGTTAGCTTCTTTGGAAATCCTCTGGCCCCTACACTGTATTTTTCTTATAGACAACAAACAGGCCAATAGTGAGATATGATCAGTTTCCTATGGAAGGAAATGGACTTCAACGGACACCATTTACAACGTAAGATAAGACTAATAGAAGCATTTGTTAAGGGGTTGTTCAAAATTACAGGACTATGAGTTTATAATTTCAACTGTAAATCAACCAGACTTGAAAGAAGCACAACATTTGCTTTTTTTATACCCTGAATTATCAGAGCATTAACTGGAAAAATATATACATCTATTTTTAATGATAGTAAAACAAACCAAAATTATCCATTAAGATAAAGGTTTGAATAAAAGTTTCATAAAAGGACAGTAAGTAATAATATTTGAACACATACATTTACCTGACATGGACATTTTCATATATTCTATTTATAATATTTGTGTAGGTGGAAATCAAAGTATGATTAAAGGTGGAATACTGCAAATCCAATCGTACACATAAGCAACATCTGTGATTTATTTTACAGTAATTTCTTATTAATTTTACTAAAAATTTAATTTGACAGCAAAATATGTTTTCTATAAATGAAGACTGTAAAAATCTAAGTTTTGTACTGTTTCTGTATTTACAGAAATTCAGCGTGTTTACTCTAGTAAAACCGATTGTAGATTCGATATTTTACATTTTTTTCTGTATTTTGTGTAAACTTACTTTTACAGTGAAGATCATCAGCTCTAAAATTAACAATTCTTATATAGTTGTAATATCTAAAACCACTGTTTGGAGGTAATTATTGGTCACAGTGAAGAACTGCAGGCTGCTGAAATTACCTTTTATTTTTTACATTTTCCTCTGCGAAGACTGTAAGTTGTCTATCTATTTATTTATTTATTTTTTCCCTGAGGTGGCCCAAGTGAAACACCGTGTTATGCGAGGGAGACACATTTAATACCCTTTCGCTCTGGTCTATAATCACTTTTAAGTTTTACATACATTTATATTCCTCTATAAAATTTACAACTTTCAAAGTATTACAATAGAAACAAAACATCTCAATTGTTTGAGCTCAAATCTTCGGGGACTCAAAGGGGAATGACAATTACATTAAACAAATATCTATAAGCAAAAAAATAGTGAATAAATGTTGTTTTGGCATTTAGTTGTTATGCAGGAATTTGCTTGCAATTGTCTTTGGAGTGATTCCTCTTCCGCACACCTGAACTATGAAATTGATATGTTAAATCGCTTCCTAGAATTTAAGTACAAACAAAAGGAAACATTATTATTACTTTTTTTTTAATGCAAAGAGGATGACCAGCAAATTGTCAAAAAAAAAAAAAAAAATTAGAAAATATCAAGATAAGTCTCACATTTACAAATAGTTATTCAAAGTTAAGAATTTCAGGATAGTACTGTGGGTGGCCGATCAGATTTAAGGGGGGCTGCACACCTCTGGCAACCTCAGTTAGAAAAATGCAGGGTGAGATTTTTTTCAAAAATTTGTTTAAAAGATTTATTCTCAGGCTTTTTGTCTTCATCATGAGAGAGTATGACAGCAGACAGCATGGAAAAATGGGTGGGAGATTGGTTTGCGACATGCTGGATCAGGATGGTTAGGGTTATATCCAGAACAGCATTAATAACGAAATAAATGGTAGCGCTTTGTTGACAGGGGGCGCCAGAATCAACAACAATGAAAAGTCCCCCAGCGGAGCTTTATTTACCTCTGTGTATTTTATGTATTCTATGTACAAAAGTTTCATCCTCCTCTTGAAAAGTGATTAAGGGTTCGACTGCGTGGTATCATCCTCTCAATCACCTCTCATGTCAGTATAAAAAGTTTACAAAGTACATTTTGATTATGCCACATAATTTATGGGGTTACGCCTGTCACAGAAACAAATCAGTATATTCTGCTTACAAGGAGCGGATGGGGAGTAAACTATGCTCAGAAAAATAAAACAGGATAAATGACTGTAAAACTGGGGTCAGAGAGGGCATCCTCTGCTTTCAGCAACAAGACAAGTTAGACTTCTTTTAATAACCCAGAAATTAGATTAAATTCTCTGACTCTTTCCAGCCCTTTTGTATCATTTATGACAATCATGATCAAGAGTTATATCTTTCATGAAAACAGAACAAAGAAACACAAACTCCTCCTGACACTGTGGCCATTTATCAAAGGCTAGAAGGTGAAAGGGTTCAGTTGACTGATGATGCTATGTTCTCCAACTAAAACAAATGGCATTAAAATGACATAATAAATATATTCCTCGCCTTCACGCTGCTGCCTTTAGGTGTAACACAAGAAAAAATGAGGTTGACTTCCACACTAAACCTGTCCAAAAGGACACAAAAGCCATACAACAGCGTGTCTGTCACCTTGGCAGCATGCTGGTGGGACAGCTCAGGTGAGGACATAAAAAGGGAAGTGATTCATCTAAGAATGGAGGACCAAGGAGAGAAGCAGATGGAAGAAAGAAGGGAGAGTTATAATTTTTAAGAGACACGACAGCAGGCAGGAGAGGCACCATAATGAGACTGTGGAGTCAGTGATAGCAGCCTGTTTGTCAGAGGTCACACTCTGCATGTTGTATTACATAATTTAGTTATGAATGAAGAGCAGGGCACCCCATATACTGCAGGTCACTCTGAAAAAGATGTTTAAGCTTGGCTCTATTTTCAGTGCGTGTTTATCCTGAATCAGCCACATCATAAGACTGCTTTGACCAACATTTACTCCCACAAAAGCACATATCTCTGTATGTTTTAAAACCCTCACCTGCATTCCTGAGCTTTTTATTCCTGAACACAGACAGAATGACGAGGACATTTCCCAGGATATCCACCACTATGGTGAAGATCAGCACGCTGGCCAGCGCAGTGGACACTCCAGCTGAAGACGCGCTCAGTCCGCACTCGCTCTCATTCTGGGACAAACAGCTCGACCTGTTCACATCCTTCACCTCCAAATCCATCTCCCCTCAGGGTGCGCGGCTCATTGGTGGAAATACTCCAATGTCCAGCTAGAAAAAAAAAATAAAGCCCAAAAATGTTCAAAGGGTTTTCTCTGGAGGGAGAGTGGAACTTTTTGAGGGACTAAACCGCACTCCTCCTTCCCCACCGCCACCTCCTACTCCGCCCGGGGGGAGATACGCGAACCGTGACATGATAATAGGCAGAGTAATTGATTCAACGCACGCTGGAAATATAAAAGGTTAATTTCGGAGGTGACAAAGATGCCAGGAGCTCATGTGTCGTCCTCTGTAAGGTCCTCGTGAGTCACCGAGGCGCTTCCTGCGCGCCGGAGAGCTCGTTCAGGAGGCATGTGAGCGTTCGGCTGGCTGTGCGTAATGGAAATGCTAGGATGCGGGGCTCACACAGAGAGCGGCGGAGAGTCCCTTGTTGACTTTTGGAGGCTTTCATGAAGACTATATTTGTCTTCATCATTGTCGCAGGGTAGACAGGCAGACTGAAGCATTCAAAAGCAAAAATACCCTGCCACATTTGCGGTGTGCGCTTTTTTCTGTACACCTCTCATTAAATACTAACTTTATATTTTGCCTTGATTTGAAGCTTGGAAAGATAGTATCTTCTTTAAAATTTAATGTTTACAGTACTAGCCTAAAAAAACTTGACATCTCTTATCCGTATCTTTATCAAAACAAAGAGCCTCTCTTTCTAAGTGCATGGAAATGGCGCCTTCATGTGTCCAACAGAGACTTTTGCAAAAATTAAAACAACTGCTCTATGTTTTACAACTGAAATTGTCAGTGTTTCCAATTTGATAATTGTGCCATGTGAAAATATAGGCCAAAAGCAGAGGCAGATACACAACAAAAAGTTGCATTTCCCTTAATTTGCAAAATACTTTTCACATTTAAAGCTTCTGTAAGGAGTTTTTGAAAAAGACTGAAATTCATGTTAAATGCTTGTTAATAACAAGCGAATAAGACCATCAGTGACATGATTACTGATTCTTAGATTGTAGTTTTTTTCATCCCTGAAACCAGTGTAAGGGGGTACTAAGTTTGAGTCATGGTCAAATACACCGTAACACAGAGTTAGTCACCCCCTCGAGAGATGAATTTTGCCAACCGTTTGCTTCTCTAGTTACACCAACTTCAGCAATGACCACATTATAGTAATGTACAGCGGTCTACGCCTCCAAACCTCAACCAAAAAGCCACTCTATAGCCACAAATTATGCTCAGAACAGCACCTAACTTCATCAACAGTACATACAGGGTCCCAGCCATAGTGCTAGCCACTAAACATCTTTTTAACTTTGCCTGATTTCTTTAGCGAAGAGACTAAACACAACTCACCTACTCTCTTCCAGCAGCTGCTTGTTTGTGGGGAGCCCTGATGAGTCGATCACAAAGTGAAGTGGAAAATTTATGACTTTTACTTCATGGAAATGCAATCAGACCCAGAACTACCGCCTCTGCACTGCAGTGCAAAATGATTATTATAATGATTATTACTTCATGGAAATGAGCAAGCGGCTGCTGGAGGAGAGTAGGTGAGTTGTGTTTAGTTTCTTTGCTAAAGAAATCAGGCAAAGCTTAAAAGATGTTTGATGGCTAGTACTATGTGCTGGGAGCCTGTATGTACTGTTGATAAAGTTTAGGTGCTATTAGGTGCAATTGTCCATTACATATTGATTTGATGAGATCATGATTCCGAAGTTGATGTTGGACGTCTTGTTGCTGTAAGTTTGGGGGAGCTTGTAATCAATCAGCAAATCATTAAATCAAACAGGCCTTATTTATAAAGCTTAGTTGATTATTTTTAAAGCTTTATTTTTATACATATCAAATGCAAGGTCAAGTGCTTCATAATCACTTAGAATAAAATGGCCAATAAAAAATGTAGAAAATGGGACATTTGTATGTAAAGAAACAGAAGAGGCAGAGACTTCTGTACACCAAAGCAATGACATATTCAATTCAAACAGTAAAGAAAATGAGATAAACATTGCATGAAAATAAATACTGAAATCTAAAAAGTTAAAATAATGATAAAACAAAACAAAAACAAAAACAAGCATAGATAAAAGTACCATGATAGAAATGTTGGTGAAACCAGAACTGAATGGACTTCTGTTTGATTTAAAATGAAAGTCGTAATGATGTATGCCGTGCTCTGGGATTGTGTGTAGTTTGTGTTGGTGAAATAGGAAGTAATCTGATAAAAGACAAAAAGACAAAAGTAAAAGTAAAGACAAAAGTCAAAATACTCAAACCCGTACAAAACATCAAATAACCAAAGCTACTGAAATCCTGACAACAAAGCTGGACTCTCACTCAGGGTCATAATAAAAAGATCTCAGGGCTGACAAACCTTTAGCAACCTCCAGTTACAAGGTGCTGAGTGGATCTGAAATCTTCTGGATGGGAATGGATGTGGTTACTTTTCTGTGCAGACAAATGCCTCATTTCTGTATGAAATGTTTGAGGATGTCGTTTTAGGGGGCAAAGGAGGAGGAATGAGTGAATGAAATGTTGGTGAAACCAGAATTGAATGGACTTTGGTTTGATTTGAAATGAAAGTCGGATTGATGTATGCCGTGCTCTGGGATTGTGTGAAGTTTGTGTCGGTGTATGTGGTGGTGACAGATGTTTGAAATTGGTGGAGGCTGGCCTGAAGGGTCTGTTTTGGGTAGAACACTGTCGAATATTATAGGGGAAGTAAGATTCTTGTGTATGAGGCTATGAGAAAAATGAAGAATGCAAGCCAGAACATTACTCGTAACATTTGTGCCATACAAGGAAAGTTATATCACATTAAAGTTGGCGCCAGCTGATGGCATATGTGCGCTGAGAGGACCATAGCAACAGTTCTGAAAAGGCTATTGAAACCAACAATTTCAGAAGGGACGTTGCTCTGTTGTCAGAATGTAAACTTTGGTTTGGATTTTGACGGCCCTTATTGCAGGTAATGAGGTGACTGATAGAAACAATATCAAATAATCTGAATGTAATGTTCTCATTTGTTTCATGAGATTGACTCCCAGAACAAAATGCAATAAGACTGACTTTACATGCCAATGCTGAAACCAAATATGGAGGGAGAAGTGATGTATGGGGAGTTAAATATAAACTTCAGGTTAGGTGACATATGAAGGGTATGAACCTATTAAAATCTCTCATTATGGCATGCCACGCTGAGCCAATTTGAGATGTTTTGCTGTGGGAGTGCAAGAGGAGGCGCAGCAGAAGTGCAGCCCTGCTTCTGAAACTTTGCAATTTCACACCACTAATCAGATGATTGAATAAATAAATGATTATTTTGGCTGTGGTAGCTGATTTACACATTCATGGCACTGTGCAGGCGACTTTTCTTTCTAAAACTCAACGAATAAACAGACAAGTTTAACAAAATAGCAGGAATGGATCATTCTGATGGATGAATGTGGCTAGCTGTTCAATACTTTCAGCAACTAAGCTAAATTAGTTTAGTCTGTGTATTTACCTCTCAATGGTAAACTTAGCATTTTCCACTGTCATTGATAAACAATAAGACATTCTCTTGTCTTGTCTCAGATGCCTATGTGTGCCTGAACCAGCAGAAAATGAGAATATATGATGAGGCTGAATTAAATATGATAGATAATCTAACTTAATCCATTTACCGTCTAGACAGGGATTAAATAAGTGTATTAACTCGCAATAAAAATTAACCTGTAAATAATTCAGCTTAAAAAGTAACCTCATCAATAAAACATGGCCGTCTACAAGGTATTTTAACGCAGTCATGTCTTCATGAGGTGAAATTCATATTCCACTTTTGAGACAACATTTTGTGTAATCACTCTAATTACAGATGAGAAAACCTGTCACTCACTGTGAATTCGTCTGAAGTTCACTGTTAACATACTCCATTTAAACATTTTACATAACCTAACTAAATATTTCTGACTCACAGAAATGTAAACAGATGTTACTTCCTCACTGAGTTACTAATTAAGCATAAATTTGTTTTGAGTTTTTTATGAGTCCTCACTGAGGTTCTCCCATAGTCCTGTTTGTGCCCTCAGCGTTGTAACTCTAACAAAGCATTTGTGCTGAAAAACACGTTTCCCTGCCAGGAGAGGTTTGGATCTTGTGAGGTATTTTCATGGATGCACAGGTGTTCAGTTTCTACAAACATTTACATCTACTATTTCCACAAACTATGCCCAGGTTTTCAGAAAAAGAAACGCAAACACTGTCAGGCTGTTCATTTCTTTCCTGTATTTCACTAATAAGGTTGAAAGAGTCCTAAACATGCATTTGAAATATTCAAACCTATAAACAGCCTTGAAACAAAACAGATTTAATCCATGATGCTCATAAGCAAACATGTCAGTTTGATAGGAAAGTGTAACACATTCAGTTATTACAGATTGTAGATTTCCCAGAAGGTTTGATCATTTTATCATCATTAAAAATGGAAAATAAGGTGAGGACACTCCTGGTTGTCTAAGGTGAAGTGAGACTGTTTAAATTATTTATACTTTTTTTGGATTTCTCCACAAAGTTTAATCTGGCCCTTTGGTCAACTGGGCCTGGTTTGGCAAATAAAAGCTTTTAAACACATCATTTGCTGTCCCTGTACATGCCAAAGTGTGTGTTAGAGAAAGAATGTCTCACAGAGTGGTGAATGTAATCGAGAAGATAAGGTTTCTAAGAAACTAACAACAAGTCCTTCTTTTTGCTTTGGGGGGCAACCGTAAACTGGGGTACAATGCTAGCTAAGTCAGCCTGCTGACTAACACCGCCCTGGGGGTACTACGAAGCTGTATCTGCTGTTGTAAAGGTGTTTCCAGGTCTAACTCTGGTTACCTGAAGGTGGTTCACTTCTTACCAGGGTGGAATACCATGGCACCTGCTCCACGACATGGTCAAGATAAGGAAACTCTGCCTACTCATATTTTTTAGTAAGGCCAGATAACCAAAACATACCCAGGACGTGATAAGCTTGCTTTGCAGATAGAGTCCTGATAACTGTAAAAACAAGAGGAAGCGATTGAAAGAGCCTCTCGTTCCTGTTGAACCACTATAAGATGTACCAGATTGCAGACAACAACTGAAGGCATTTTTTAAACCAAGGCAATGATAAGTTATAAGAATATATAGTCACTAAAAATAATATCACGTCCACATCTATATAACATGTAAGAAAACCAGGATGTGGGGAAGAAGAGAGGATATGGGGTCAGCTAAAATTTAAAAGTGATGAATCATCCTTGGTCCGACCCAGAAGCAGCTGTTTCTCCGACTTGACCAATCAGAGGCAACGGATACAAATGGCAGTCAAGTAACATCAGCACATAATGCTGTGTTTCTGGCCCTACACGAATTTAAATATTGTCTCTTATAATTTTCTCTTCTTTGTCTGTACCAACTTATGAAGTAAACGTCTGGTTCTTTATCACTGTATGGTTATTAAAGTTGAATACAGGTTAACATTTGCAGCTATAATGTTTGCAAAAAAGGTTGCTTCTTTATCACTTGTGATAGCTAAAGATTAAATAGGAATTACATTGACGTCATTTCTATGCCTAAATGTGAAATCTGAGAAGTACTTACCTGTTATAGCATTTGAATCAAACTCCTGAAGGGGCCAGGGCAACCCTGTCTCCAAAACCTCCTTCTACCACAGCAAAGCATCCTTATTTGAAGGGATCCATTTTGGCATGTCATGACAGGACAAACAAGGTGTTACGAAATATATGTGTGTGAGTGTCCAAATGTGAGTATCTGTGTGGGTGTGTCTGCATGCGAAAGTGAGCATGTACCTGTGTGGACGTACCTGTGTGGGAGTGTCTCTGCGAGAGTGAGTGGGAGTGGTTGTGTGAGAGTGTCTGTGGGTGTGCTTCACTCTCTGATTGCAGGATGCCCAGCACCTGCAGCTGAGCAGAGGACATGCGGCTCATTCTCAGCCCAGAGTGACTTTCTGCAGTGGAGCAGCAGCAGCCTTCGTGTGATTTTCTCAATAGTGATTGGAAAAGTGATTTATCTTTGTTTAGAAAGATTGGTGTCTCTTTTATTCGCTCTTTAAATTAACTTCATAAAAGGTACAATGTGTAGAAATGGGACTATGTAGCATAATCTAGTGGTCAGATTTTAGATTTCAGTGCTCTCTTGCTCACCCCTGTCGTTAGTGAAGCAATGGTGGCCTTTGAGGACAAGAAGCTCGGATGACGCATGCCAAGTTTTTTACCATCAAATATTTCATTATTACATTTTTTTTCACAACAACAGCCATTCTCCTCTTTTTCTCATTCTCCTCTGTGTTTTTCAACTGATGTATTCGCATGGGGCGCTCACTAAATAGGCCTACAAAAACTAGTTTGTTCATTCTGTGCCAATGCAGAAACATGGCTGGGTATGGTGGCATCCTCCGTGGAAGGAGACAAGCGCTCATTTTAAATGACCAAATCTGTGCATTTAAGTGATTATACAGTAGTTTCAACAGACTTGAAAACATTTTAACACATTTCTACCAAGTAAAAGAAACAGGTGCACAATAAATGTAGAATAATACAAGTTAAATGCAAACTGTCTCTCCTCAATGTTATGTATTTATCTTAGAAACCTGAGTAATGTCACTCAATGTCAAATAAGTGGAAGAATAAAGTACAAATAAAAAACTAGGCCTTCTTTTTGTAGGGACACTTGTAAAAGGTGTGTCAAAAAGCTGCTTATATTTTGTATGAATGTATGAGCACCAGTAATACTTAGAATATTGTTATGCAGCTCTCAGATGCATTGTATGTATTACTGAAGGTTGTATATAAACTGATACCAGCCTGATTAAGTCCTGATAAAGAAGCAAAATGTGTAATGAAAATGTGTTTTTTTTTAAACAAAGGATCCTTCATTTGAAGAACCTTTAATATTGACTAGATAAAACAATAACAGGTCATGGGTGTGTTTACAAGAAAAAGTTCAAAATGTTCTGAAATGTCTCTAAAAGTGGCTGTGGTCTTCTCAATAAAAGTACACACTTTGAATCACATTTAGCCCACTTTTATTAACCTCTCACTGTGCAAAACCAGACTCCTCCCTTTGTACTTTCCAAACATCCTTTTCTGAAAGCATGTCACTGAACACATTCACCATACAGTCACATCTCTGTACTTACTTTTACACTTTTTTAACCTCTGTGCCTTCTACACCACAAGCCTTCAGTACTGTACATTAAAAATATGGCTAGGATTGTTAGCACTATTATTTGGACGCACATAGTGACAAAAAATCTAAGGCACTAGGATTCATAGACTACAGTCTGCCTATTCTGCTGAAGCACACATAAATCTAGGACAGCAAGGGACGGACAAAATGTTCACAGAATATTTCTGCACAGTAAATACATGTGACATAAGAGACATCCCATGGAAAATATAAAACAGGAGCATGATTCATCTTGTTTTCTTAGCCAAAATATAGGAACTCATGAGTGCAGTCTTTGTGTTTCCATGAGTTCTTTCATAGTTCTGTGTATAAGGAGCTGGGTCTTTCCCCAGAAATTATAAACCCTTATAAAATGGAAATATAGGCACAAGTTGTCCTGGGATGGCTAATCTCCAAAATCCAGGTCCATCAGAGCCTGAGAAGAGGACACAGGTGGCTTTTAGCAGGGAAAGTCTCAGCACCTGATGACTAAACATCTGCACCATCATGGCCGGTATGTTTTGATCACATCTTTGATGGGTCTCCTGCATATCGGACAGCAGGCATTGATCTGTCGCTTTAGCTTGAGCCCGCAGTCGTTGCACAGACACATGTGACCACAGGTGTAGATAACTGTGTCGACCTCCTGGTCGAAACAAATGGTGCATTCTCCGTTCTTTGCAGCAGGGGGCAGCTCTGAGGCGGGGAGAGTGGGAGAGACTGGAGGACTGAGTGGGGAGCTGGGAGCTGTCACTGGAGGAAAAGAAAAGGCAACATGAGTGGGTCTGAAACAGGCATAGATCCATGTTGACAGAAAAGTCTTTTAGACTTTGATTTTCATTAAGATACCTGTCATTACCAACATTTGTCAAAATTCTCATATCATCAGCATACTTCTAATATAAGTCTACAGTTTGTTGTGATTTTTGCTGTAGTCTTTCTGTTTATTCATCCACCTCTTTCCTTTTATTCCTAGCTGTCTGTCATCCTGAGATCCTTCAGTCTTGGCAGATGGCTGTTCACTGATGAGTCTGGTTCTAATACAGGTTTCTGTCAAAACTCACATTTTTTCACTGATGTTTTTTGTACTTGTGCTGATAATGTTAAGTCGGTACAAATAATATTACAAAAATCTGCTTTAAAAAAAAATACATATAATGCAATATAGATTAAATCTGACAGAATGTTAAGAGCATGCCTAGTTGGGATTTAAAATAATGTCACTTTTTTATACGTATTCTCCCTCTGACTATCACACTTGCTTTATTCTTAATAAAAGGCAAGCAGAGCACAAACTTCCCCTCCAATTTCTAATCTTTATTAAACCATTAAAGCCCCACATCCTTCACTGCAGATTAAAACCTCTTGCCTCGCATGCCTCTGTGAGTGACACATATAATAAAAGCCTCCGCAGAGTCTCCTGCTGTGACCCTATGATGGTTTCCACATACATTTTAGTGTTGATGTATGATGTCAGGGTTTGGAAACGTACCCAGGGAGGATTCAGAGGCCGAGGAGGATCTGTTGACGCTGAACGCCAGGTCTGAGTCACTGTCATCTGGACTGCTGCTTTGGGAAGTGCTGGGGGATGTGGAGGGAGGACTGGACTGCAGAGTTCCTGTGTCAAAAAGATAAATACACATGAATAAACACTCGATAATTAGTCTTATGTCGAGCCTTTAGATGGTGCATTCACAAAGTGTATATTAAACTATGTCCTTGAACTGAGTGCAGAGCTTTATACTGACTGTCCCAAACCGGTCAGATTAGATATGCTTATTTTTATTGCTTGAAGTTTCACTGGGGATACTTGTAGCCTGTTGGAGGATAATATTGTTGGATCAGAAGCTGTTAACAATGGGGTCTGAGCTGATGGGAGTTCATGTGGGAGTAGTGGGACCGGGACAGATAGGTCACAGCTCGAACAGACACATGCAGACATAAACCACTTTGCTGCATTCCTTTAGTCTGGGAAAAATAAATTAGAAGAGTTGCATGGACTCAAGGGTAAACTGATAATGATAACAGAGTGTGTCCTCTTTTTAGGGCACATTTATCACTTTAGGTTGAATGAAATTGTTTAGAGTTGTTTGGACACATGTTTGTTTTCTGTACTGTAGAGAAATTAATGAAAAGATTGATACCACTCTCATTTTTCTTCATTAAAAATGAAGCTGCAGCAGGCTAGGGTAACTTAGCACAGTGGGAATAGGGAGAAACGTCTACTCCTGCTCTGTCCAAAGAGAACAAAAACCTGCATACCAGCACCTCGACTTAACACATTATATCACAGTTCATTGTTCTACGACTGGCTTTGTGCCAGACTATTTTTTTGGACCATGACCCAGAGCCCTCCTGTAGTCTCTGCTGGTTGTGTGGTAACTTTGCAGAGGCAAGAAACAGTATGGCAAATAAACCAATCTTTTAGGAGATCTTATGCTATGCTAAGCTAACGCGGTGCTGACTGTTAACTTTTGCAAAGCGGTTGTTACATGGACAGTATCAACGTCCTTTTTCTGACTCTTAGAATCATGCTTATCTCATATTTGTAGTTTCTGCAGTCAATTAGTAATAGGACTACTTCATACATGAGTGCTGGTCTGAAGATTTCTGTTCCTGTTCAAGTGTCAATATCCTAATTATAACAAAAAATCAGGGGTTTCGTATCACATGTAGTTGTTGCTGTTTTCAGTCTAAAGGTGCAATGTGTAGTATTTAGCAGCATTTAGCAGATCATACTTAGCATAAATGAAGTATGATATTCATGGGTATATTTATATTCAATTACTTGTGTAGGAGCAGATAATGCAAAATAATTAAGCTCTGGTATCATTGTTTCTCATAGGGACATGTGATTTTTCTATAAAAAGTAGGAATATTTGTGTCTAGGTGGGTACTCCGCCCAAGAGGAGGAACAATTTTTTTAAAAGTAAAATAAACAAATGGTGTGATCAGCAAGTTGTGGACTTTTATTCATTAGTCAGTTTATTCAGCTGCTGCACCTGGACAAACTAGTCACATATGTGTTTTCATATTTGGCAAGTTGCTGCATAAAACAAATTGGTTGGGGAACAAACCAAAAAATTTAAGTGATAGACACTTTTGACCTGGACAAATAGAGGATCATTTCTATCATGTATTACAGGAGCATCTTGTTCACGTCACTTCACAGACAGGAGGGGTGAGCAAAGGAGCATTTCAAGAGTCTGCTTACTAGATATCCCTAAGTTTGACCAGTTCTATGTACTTGTACCTTTTACTTACCAAGTATCCTGAGTCTGTTGACCGCCCCATGCAGCGTGAAAAAGGTCCACAGGACCTGTGAGGTGTCCACACACAGCAGCCTGCCACGTCCCACTCCGTTCACCCCATGGTGCACTTCTCCACTGGGCAGCAGACTGAAGCTGAGCACGTCTCCAGAGCAAGGCATGGGGAAGCCCCGGTGCACCACCCAGTACTCTTTACGGTCCAGGAGGACCTCAGGGTCTGCCGGCAAGTCCCCAGCATGGAGACTAGCCGGGTCACATGAGGTTAAACCAAACAACAGTGCTCCAAAGTACGGCAGGCCAAGATGGCCAACTTCCACATACAAAGTCTCGCCCACATGCAGAGGCCGGTCACTGAAGACCAGAGTCCGACTGCTGTCCAGGAAGTGGATGCAGGCAGCTGAGCGGTCTGCAGAGAGAATTACATCGGAACCTCGGACAGGGTGAAAGTGCAAGTCATTGTCCAGAGGGGAAGGAAGGCCTCGGACCAGCCTTGGGACGTTGAATCCAGTGGAAGAAGATGAGGACAGTGTGGAGGAGGAGGAGGAGGAAGAGGTGGAGGAGCAGCAGGGGATGATCTGAGTGTAGTTATTGAGCTGGAGGTTGGCCATCTTGGCAGCGGCGGCCTGGTTATTCTCCAGCTGATTGTTGCTGTAATTGGCTGAGTCGTGGCTACTCTGGGGTAGATAGGCACTCAGACGGGCCGCACTCAGGCAGCTGGAGCCCACACTCTCTGCAAATGTGCTCTCTGTGACGGAGAATATGAAAAAAAAAAAAAACTACATTATTGAAACATTTAATCATGTGATGTGTTCTGAAGAGGCTCAGGACATTTCCTTTCTCTTTAATCCTTTTCTCTTTTCCAACACGTCACTGTTGGAAGGGGAAGATTGTAGCTGCGTGTCCCTGCAATGCCTTATTACTCTATGTGTGCTTTTGTTTTTATAGCCACATGATAGCGCTGCCGCAAATAATTGATTTCATTATGGTTTTCAGCTGGTAACGTTTACAATAAATCTATTTTTTTGTCCATAAATCACAAGACAACTGTGAAAAATCACAATGTCCTGCAGTCAAGGGTGAAGTCCTTAAATGTGTTTTTTTTTTTTAATCTACAAAACCATCTACCAAGAAAACAAACAAACAACACTTAGTCTACTTTCATTAAAGGCTAAAATAACCAAACATTCTCATTAGATATTTTTGATTTATGATTATGACAGCTCTGTTAATGTTTGAACAGCTTTTTCACACTCTTTCCCACACTGGAGGTAGGCTGATGAGGAAAACAAGATTAAATGTTGTACATACGGATCATATGGTGAACAGTTTGGTCATATGTAGTGATGGACACCTTAAGTAACCAAACCAGAGCTAAAAAGCAGAAACCTGCTCTTGTCAAAGAGTTTGATGTGGGTTAAATAAACGTTAGTCTTGTGTAGAGATACGCTGTGTAAATCAGCAGTGTGTTTGACGGTCACGGACATGTTACACACCTGACCTACATAACCTTAACCTCACATGGGAGTCACTGTAAACATGGCTGAAGCTAGTACAGATGTATACATGATATCAAAATTAAGAGTTTGCTCAGCTAAAATTAAGTAAAATTTAAGTATTAACTTTTGGAAAAACAAGTTTAAAAGCACAGCTTATTTGTGCTTTTAATTTTAATGCTGTACTTAATTTCCTGTGAGCGTGGCAGATCACATTTTAACTGACATTTTGCGGGCTCAGCTGTGGAGCAAAATTGCATGTGACGCTCAGCTTTAGGGTGTTTGTAAGAATCAGAGGATAAAGCAGTCAAACTACTGCAACTCAGTGCAAAACGGACTGTCGAGAAAAGCCTTCACAAAGTTAGCAGTTAGCATTAAAGTTGGCTTTGATTTTCAATGCTTAAAGCTGCTGTGATTATTTCTGAGCTCAACATGAATCAACATTTATAATATTGACATCTTTGTATAACCTACTGAAGCAAACAAGACCAGAAGCAACAAGACATGACTTTCTTACAGTTAATATTGGTCTGTGAAACCGCTCCTGGGGGATAGATATCAGACAGTTTGCCTAATGATAAAAAACTCAAAGAGTGTATTGAGTTATCTGGTAAATCTACCACAGGAGCTTTAAAACAGTGTTTTCTTTGATGAAGGCATTTACGAGACAAATAATACATCAGATATCAAACACTGACAAAGGTACGTTTTGTTTTCATTTAACAAGACAAGGTGCATTCAAGAGCATCCCTTTATATAACCACTTTCATCTGTTCTGTACATTCAACTTTCCTGAAGTAAAGCTCAAGAAAAAAACCTTTAGATTTAGAAAAAATCCTAACAAGAGCTTTAAGTCTAGAGCTAAACTATTGTGAAACCAACCTGTCTTGGTGCTGAACACACTGGCTCAAACAGATCATAAACAGCCTTACTTAAATCACAAGTTTCAGAAATTAGCTGTGCTTGACTCTTGATAACCATGGCTGGGAACATTGGCTGGCATTAACCACTAGTTTCACATATCGCTGCATGTGACTTTTCCTATAATTAGATGATGGAGTTAAATATGTCCATTTGAAGACCAATAACAGGAAATCCATAAACTTTAAAGACAATATATTAAGTTGAGTTTGAACAAGTTTGCGAGATACTATCTTTATTGCACATAAGACACTATATTCCATTTAGAAGGCTATTGTTGGTTTTGGTGGCTTTGACTCTCTATTTTGGCTGATTTATGGACAGCTTTTACAGTACAGCTGTGTTTCTATATGTATGCGGGGGTGACATATAAACAGCCTGGGCACTAGTGGTCCACAGATACATTCCTCTATTACTATTTCTAGTGATGCTGCAGCAGTTAAGCACTTTGGCCCCTCACCAAAGCTCCTGGGATCTGTTGCATTGACCAAACATGGCCATTGCTCCTGTCAGACCGAAGATAAACACACCCAGCCAGTCCAAGAGGGAACCACAGGGGAGAGGATGATGGAAACCAAGAGAGAGGGGAAAGCGACAAAGAGCGGGAAAGTTGTAATAAGCCTGTGTACATGTAGAGTGGTTTGGAGTAGGTGGTTGAGGATCCGTTTACTTCTGTGGTCCAGACCTGTTAGGTCTTCTCCACAATCTAGTTCTGTCACACAAGTAAAGGATCACTTAGTCACTGAACTGCTCCAGACCCTTCTACCTCTTCTACTTCAGTAACCTCTGCTGCTGTAGACCTTCATTGCACAGCTGCTCTCTGAACTGTCAGGAAGCTGCTTAAATTAGCCGTGAATGTGTTGACACTATAAAAATAAGTTGCCAGGGTTTCAGGGTTGATGGTCAAAATAGACAGCTTTCTAGCGGACTATTGAAGTTCCAATACAGACGAAAAACATCCATTGCTCAATATTTTATGCAAACATACAATTGGTAATGATGGATTGTGTACAGACACATGACTGGCTGGTTGTGAAATGTGCTTCTCTCACTTCCCTTTGGATATGAGTCAGCTTCTTCTTTCCTCTCTCAGCCAAACACATATCAAAAACACTTACATTTTCATGAGTGTTTTCACAAGCTACCTAATCGAATGCTTACCAAGCAGTGTGACCTCCTGAGTGATGCCGTAGATATCTATAATGGCCCACAGTGGACAGCCGATGCTGAGCCCACAGTGGAAGAGGATGGGCTCTCCCTCATTGATGCTGTAAAAGACTCGTCCATGGCGATCAGCCCAGAAAGACAGCACATTGTCCTTCAGGGCCAGTCTCTCGGGCAGAGCTTTGGCCCAGTAGCCAGGCCGTGTCACCAGGTCTGGGCAGGCATACTTTGGGATGTCTGAAGTGACCAGTTCACTTGGGTCCAAACTGGTAAAACCAAAGCGTAGAGCTCCGCTCCAGCCTGTGTGCACGCCAGTCAGGCGTAGACGCACCTGAAGAGACAACAATTGCAAAAAGTAGGCTTTTATTCTTTATCTTTAAGCTATAACTGTAAGCTGTAAGAGTGGGCATTCAATGGAGTGGATGATGTACCTTCTCATAGAGGTGGACAGGCCTGTGACTGAATGTGATGCCATTACAGAAGCTGTTCTTGCGTGTAGCTCGGCGAAGCTGCCCATCCAGCCTGATATTCTTGCCTTTGGCATGAGGATGAAAGCGAGGAGACTCCAGGTTAATGCTTACCGGTGGGGCGGACGTTCTTCTCTCCACACCTGCCCCATTGTTGGGGAGGGTGTAGTACTGCCTGCTGGCCCCTGGGCGTGGTTGTAGAGTCGCATCTGTTGACATAAAAGTTTTAAAATTAAGAAATCCATCAGCGATTGACAAGCACAGAGGACGGCTTTGTATGAGAAGAGCAGGTCTGGCTGTGTGTGACCCGGTCAAATCCACTATGTAGGAGACACCAGCTGTTGGAAAAAGATACAAACATATCAGCACACTGTTACTCATTTGAAAGTGGTCCATGGCAGTCAGCTTTGAGGGCAGAGGCCGGTTATGTTAAGGAGTCCACAGTCTCACACACTTCCTTTCCCACACTGACACTTTAAAGCCTCTAACCAAGTACATCAAATAGTCCCTTTTAGCATATATCCCACACTTACAGTATAAAAAGGCCCGCTGCCCTAAATCAGTCTTCTCACTGCAACCATGGGGTATTTATATCATAGACAAAAAAGGTACTTTTGGACAAAAACCTGTGTGCATATATCACCGGGAAATATTTGGTTTTTGTAAGATCAACACGGACTGGAGCGGAGCTAATATTAGCGGTGTCACAGTAGAGAGGGCATTAAAATAATCCACACAGAGCTGACAACAGATGCAATAAGACCTCGGCTTATTTAAAGGATGCATACTCCCTTGGCCTACAGCATAAACAGAACCCTGAATGGCCCCTTTCATTCCTCAACGCTTATCTTCTGAAGAGTGAATCACACTGTGCTCTGTAGCAGAATAATAGTAAAACATAAAATTTAAACTTTCATCTTTATCTTGATTTTTACAGAGATCACTGACCCGGTTTAGTGAATACTTTCTTTATAACCATCAAATACGCATATTAACATTGATCAGAGGACTAATATGACTCAGTTCTGACTTTATTTGCGTCGTTTCAATCGTATATTCAGTTAAATTAAGTGAGTGTTTATGGTATATGCTGGAAGAAATCCAATATTCAAAGGGAGGCAGTTTCTCCTCTGCTCCAGGCCACAGAGTGAATACATTTCTGTTTAAAATTCATTGAGATCTGGTGCAAAGACAATAACTCAGTGAAATGTTCCACAGTACATTTCCTAAATTACACATTATCACTGATTATATTCTAAACTATGAAGCAGCAGCAAGAACATCTGTAACATCTCAGATGATCAGCGTGTGCCCCCTTCTTTGGGCTGCAGTCATTTGGCTTTAGAGGGAGTGAAATATACTCTGGTGGGAGTGTTTGGTGGAAAACATGTGAAGGTTAAGCCTGTAAATCTAAGGATCAACTGCCTCGCTGACAAAGGGATGGTCTCTGCACCTACGATGAAGACCGATATAGACACTGGCCATTATTAGATGAAAGGCATTGCCAAACAGGTCATGCAGTGAGGGGTAGCTCAACATTTAGCTTCAGTTAAGTTTGAGTTTGAGCAATCGTGTCCAAAAACATAAAAAATAAATAAATGTGGACTATCTGTATTGACATTAATAAAAACTGTCTCAAATGACAAAAAAAGGTGATGCTCTGTTTTGTAATTCAAAGACACATGGTGTGTTTGAGAAAGTCAGTGGTTTGTTTCCTTGCACACATCATAGGCAGTTTTGAAAAGGGGAACAATGCTGCCTTGACTTATCACTTCATTGTTTATGTTTTGAAACCTTGAGCTGGGCATTGCAGCGGATGCCACCTTTATTTTGGGTAGCAAATTGAAGCAAGGGGGGGCAGAGGCATGTGCTGTAGTACACCAGCAGTGTGCCACTGTACACCTTTTATCTTCATTGACAAATTTATAGGCAAGGAGGCCCTATTAAGAGATAATTATAATGTTCTTGTTCATCTCTCATGTGTATTGAATAAAACGGTTGTTCAGTACCCCTGTGTTGATGCAATTTAGCCCTAGGTGGTGGCGCCTGTTAGCCTAACCACAGTAACCCACAGACTATATTTTAAAATAAATGTCACAATGGTTCACTGACTGTGACACCAAAGGATTTAGAGCTCCCCCTGCTGTCTGGCGGCAGTATGGGTCACAAATCCCACCTTTCTCTTAGTGACACATGGAACATGGGTCAAACTGTGACATTCAAATACATGTCAAGTAATTTTTTCAAACCTGGTGTCTGTCATCATTGTTAGTGTTGGTTTTTCTGAGGCGTTAAGAGTTTAATAGTTATTTGATGTCAAAAAGATGATTGACTGACAGCTCTGTTGGCTTTATCAGACAAGCAGAATAAGGAAAGAATGGTGAGGGAAAACATTTGACTTTCCACCACCTGCTTGCGACCATACCAACCTGAGGGCTCTTCAACATTTCACCAGTATGTTAAATACATGCTTTGATAAACAAAGGGTGTGTTAATGCAGAAATCTATGGGGACTGAGTCCCTTTTGAAGCCAGCCTCAAGTGGCCAATCAAGAAACTGCAGTTTTCCACCCTGGCTTAACTTGTCAGCTTGTGCAGATGCATGCACATAAAGCTGTGAAGATGGCTGCCATATAACACAGCCATGCCACTTCTGCCCCATGGCTTTTTCACCTATTGGCAGCTGCCAAAAGCTGCATTAAAGTTCAGACAAAAGCATCAAAAACTTCAACTGATGAAAGTAGACATGGACGTAAAAGTAGAGTTTTTTGATTATGAAATAATCAGCTCTGCAAATGTTTTATGAGAGGGGAAATGTCTAAAAGATGTTTGTTTACACATGATGAGTATTGGTGAAAAATGTCGAGGATAAACATAATTTTTTCTTGTTTACAAAAACTCCACATGCCAACTTCAAAAAATGCAGCTGTCATCTCCATTTTTTGTAAAGTGGAACAATTTTTGAGCAATTTAAGGATGATGCAACACTTCAACATTTTTTTATAAGGTGCAGGCGGGCCAGTTAGTTGAAAAGACTACACAGCCATAGTCTGAGATTCAGCTCAAAATCTGTTTTACAGAAGGCTGAGGCTTTATCTGATGTAAGAATCAGTCTTGATCCACTCGTCATCTCAATGGCAGTAAGTGTTGCTTGATGACCTTTTTGAAAGATCAACACAATCTTTTTTTTCTTTTTTTTTGTTTTCAGATAAATTAGACGCTTCACTCAAAGGTCAGTATTCACTGCAGGTCACTCACTTTTCTTCATCATAGGGCACAGATTGACTACTGGCTTTGCAGACTTTTTCAATAGATCCATTAAAAGGCCCCAACTTAATCATGTGACCTTGATCAGATCAGTTGTTATCACGCATAAGCTCAGTTGGACAGCCCCCATATTGTAGGTCTATATTTCTTCTGACACGTGGTTTAAATACTTTAAGCTAGAAGCAGTTGTGGGAAAAGTGTATCTAGTGAAATAAAGAGCACAAATACATGCAATCATAAGACTCCACAAGACACACTGCGGTGCCAAGGCAAGCTGCTTCCACACTAAAACTGATTATGTGCATTCGTCAGAGTTATCATTAGCCCCTTATCCTTTATTCATCCCCCCCATCCCCCCCGGGCTACATGGGCAGTACATAATATATTTCATTCACATCTAAAAACGTCAATCTCTCTGCATTTCAAGGGAATTTAAGGACTTGTTTTGTCACACCTTTCTTTCCAGAAGTAATGAAGAGGAATTTTCCATTAAAAACTCTCTGACGTGAGTTTGAAAGCGTACACAAGGAGTTTTCCATCACTCAAACGCATGCAAAAGACCTATTAGTGTATGAAATTGACCCCTTTTGTACACAATGCTGTGTATCTCAGTTAAAGCCTCCTTAAAAAAGCTATTGTTCAATTAATTTCATTTTAATTGAAACCACTCAGAGCACGCAATAGGACCCAAGCCTCTGTGACTCAGTGTTTTGAGTCCAAAGCCTCCGACAGCCAGAACTGGCGGCAGTAACCACATCATTTAGCCATCAAGTGGGTCTGTTGGGGGCGTGGGAGAGCGACAGACATTAAATCAAACTAATATTGGGTGCTGATAATCAAGTAACATGCTTTGAGTGTCAGAAAATGGGGAGTGTGAGGGCTCATGATGACAGCTTTATGCAAAAACTGAAGCTGACAATCAAATCTTTTCACTGACGGTCCCTTGAGATTCCATTTTATATCATACAGCTTTGATTATAACTAAAAATACTAACAGGATCATGTAGCTACTTAAGAGTATAATTCTAAAATTCAGGGTTATTCATTTCTTCATCAGTTCTTTTCTGATTTGGTACTGTTTTGTCCTTTTTCTGACCTTTTAAAACTGAAGATAGTCTTTAAAAACATAATGGGTTATGTGGCAAAATATGCACAAAAACACAAATTAGGTTTAATTCAATGGGCAGATTTGCACACTAATAGTGTATCAAGATAGGATTATATAAAAAGATCGGTATGGAATCGAGTGACACACAAAAAAGCAGAAAATAAGAAGTAGCCTTAAATGTTGTTCTCTTCAAATAAAATGCGATCAGAAGAGGAGTGTGATCCACTTGTCTCTCTACATAAAAGCATTTTAAGATCATGTATTACTTCCAGATCAATTGATGATCAAAATGAGCCGATACCACTCAGGTATTTCTGACAATTTTGTTGCAAATGAGCTTTTATGAACAACAGACTGTGGGTGCTGATCCTGTTTGATCGTGAAAATTATCAGCTACACTTTCGACTTTACATGCCTGCTCTCTTTTCTTTCATTAAGAGCACATCACTGATTCTAATCCTCAGCATAAATATGTGAAGAAGTGCCATTCAGCCGGAGTATCGCGGTAGCGGGAGCGCAGGTTTGGACTCGCTCCCTGGAAATCACGCTCAGCTCCCCCGTGATGAGAAGAAGCGCGTCTGCACGCAGCGGACGCACAAGTACCGGAGGAACCAGGACCAGCCATGTGTGTCTGAGGCTACAACACACCGTTTCACACTCATACTGCTTCGACCAGAGCCTGGTGAATGGCACATTAATGATAGGTCTCACCTATTAAAGGCTTCGGTGTCGTATTCCCCATTATATCCAGAGATTCCTCTCACCGGCTGACAAGTTAATTCCGATTGCAATATCTCTCTGCCCATCCATGAATCCTCGCTGTGATGAGTATCTGCCTGGAACCAGTTCAATCTCAGAATCAGTGGTTTTAATTTTTTGGTAGCTGGAGCCTATCTCCTCGCTGAAGCATGCATGCGCTCTTCTTAATGTCAACCCCGAGCGGCTGCGACAGGCGGACACCTCCAACTGGCGCACAGCAGCCCCCTCCTTTCTTTAGTACAGGCTCCCCTCTGCACGACTTTAAAGACACAGTAAGCAGAGATCCCCCTCGCAAGCATCACTCAGCCTCTGAATAATTCAGTTAATTATTCACTCTGAGCCTGTGATGAAGGCTGATGAGAGAGGAGCCTATGGGACAGAAAGCATATCAGAGGAGGAAATGTGATTTGTAGGAGGGCTGTTTGCATATAGAGGCTGGTGCAGACAGACTGCTGTAAAGTTTGATAACAAAAAAAAGAAAAAAAAAAGGGATTAGTGATCATGTCCATCCAAGAGATGTGTTTGATTTAAGCATCCTGTTGAAGAGGTTAAACTTATCTGCATACAGAGGAAGACATTTACATGATAATTGACTGTTGGGGTCAGGGTTCTTAATCCCAGATCCCCCTGGCTTTTCATCTGGCTCATATCAAACACAATCGTTGAAAATAACAGATTAATTTTTTTGCAAACTGCTAATAAAAGTCGGACTTGCCATATGAGGAAATCCCCCTTTTCCCACCCTATCCTCTGCCCTCCCACAGCCTTGACTGCTGGGCTTCTCTCAAGCTGTTTCCTGTCTTCTGGACCACAACGCTCTCTGAGGAGCCATGGCCTGCAGGGTCTGAAGCACTCAACGCATGAGTTAAGGGAGTGCCAGGACAAAGTATCTCCCAAAGTGGAAAATGAGAGCGGCCTGAATCGCTGCAGCAGCTGTGTGTCACATATTCTGGACAAAAGAAAGGGGAGAGTTGATAAACGAGCGTTGTGTCTCCCTGTAATGTTCAAGTTATGACTAATTAGAAAACACTGGCAAGTCCAGGGGTTTACTTCCTGCTTCCTGCACGGTGGGTTGACTGTAGACATGATCCATATCAGATACAAAGATGAAGTGCCTCAGCCAGAAAAACATGATCCCCTTCAGTTTGAGGGCAGTGGTGTCTCCTGAGAGGTGGCGTTTGGGTGAATACAGGCTGGATCTAAATATAACTCAAAGACAAAAGCATTTGTTTCGACCTCCTCAATGCTGTTTGTTTTAGCAGGATATGGTGGCTCCTTACATGAGCCCAGGGTGAATGGTGTTTGGGGTGAAGTGAAGCAGAAGTAAAATTCCCCCTCCATGCCCACGCTGCAGTCTCAGACAGAAAATGATCTACTATAGCAAAGGGGATTAACACAGGAAGTGAACATGAGGCCGTGATGAAGTCTGCAATCAAGCACTCCCTGTAAACACAGCAGAGCTGCAGGAACAAGTGCTGCTCCCCCTGATGCTTGCTGAACTGCCTGAGCGTAGGCTGCAGGGTGTTAATGACAGCATAATGATTCCTGAGCTGAGTTTATTCCAAATGGTAAGGAACTGTATATAAAGAGGTTGTTTCAGCTCAATCATTGAAGACACGGCTGGATAATGAAACGTTACACAGAGACGTTAAAGCACAATCTGTTTATCTGAGACATCCCCTAAAAGTAGAACGACCTCATCAATCATTTCAGCAAGTTTATGTCAGATTTTCTCTTTTTTAATACCGGATCATGTTTGCTCCCTAATCGCAACCACATGTGCGTTGTTGTAACCATGCCGAAACAGCTCATCTCTAACCAAACTGTCATTTAAATCTAAGCAGACAACTTCTATCCTCACGTTGACGAGTCTCTGGGATTAAATTAAGAGCACAAAACATCATGGTGTAAGTTTTAGAGCTCTGGTAAGCATATTTTGTCACGTTTAGACAGAGTCCGGCCAGCAGTCAACAGTTTTGTGATGAGGTAAATTAACTGCTCACTGGCTATAAGTTATTTCACAGGGGAGAATAACTGTGAGTCTTTTCTTAAAGACCCGCTCCGATGAAAATCATGTTTTTCTTGGTTTTTACATGTTCATATGGCATTTTTCTGATACTTCAGGACATACCCTGAGAAAGCTAAATGCGAAATTGCTTTTCTGAGTATTCCTTTATTCAAATCTCTGTGAATCTCTGGCAGAGCCAAATGGCAGGCTCAGAAACAGTGAGATTTCATACGTAACCAATCCAAGCTCAGCCCCCAGAGCCCCACTATGCAGGCCACACTCTGCATATAAGGTGTAGCAGTGCCAGCGTCAGCATGGGGGGCATGGGCATAAAAACCAACTATTTATTAGCTGACTACACAGTAACGGAGATCGGAATGGAGAGAGCAAACTTGGACTCAACATACCGTAAAAGGACAAGCTGAACAATGAAGGAAGAGAGCGTTACCTAAGCTAAATTGCGGACATTGCTGGACTCAAACACTGTATGGTCAGAAAATGATTTTGAGATGCTACCACCACTTAATCGAGTGCATTTGATGCAGTACTTCATCGAAGGAACAAGCTATTATACATTTAATTCCTTCCATAATGAAAGGTCTCTCTTGGCCCACGTTTTTTTCACATCTGGGTGGGTACACAAACTGCAGATGCACAGTGTCAACAACAAAACCGTCATTCGCACAATGGTAGGTGATCACACACAAACACGTCTGCCTTTCTCTCTCTCTCTCTCTCTCTCTCTCTCTCTCTCACACACACACACACACACACACACACACACACACACACACACACACACACACACACACACACACACACACACACACACACACACAGACTCCCCTGAACAAATTATTATGTACTGAGGTCCTGCATCAAATGCACTCGGTTAAGTGGTGGTAGCATCTTCTGATCATACAGTGTGTTCATATGGGTCGAGTCCATTAATGTCCGCAATTTAGCTTAGGTAACGCTCTCTTTCTTTATTGTTCAGCTTGTCCCTGTATGGTATGTTGAGTCCAAGTTTTGCACTCTCCATTCAGATCTCCGTTACTGTGTAGTCAGCTAATAAATAGTTAGTTTTTAAAACCTACCGTCACCCTAATTTCATTCATTCCAACGTGCTTAGTGTTGTTATGTCTGTCAAAATGGCCGCGCTGGCATGTTACGCACCATAACCCCCCGTGCTGATGTTGGCACTGCTACACCTTATAGAGGAGAAATAGAGAGGATGATTAGGGAAACAGGCGTGTGTGTTAGCGGACTGCAATGCTAGTAAGAAAGCTAATTATGATATTAGCTTTCAATCTGTCCCTAAAGGCATTAGTGCCTGACAGCTGAATAGCTCCTATGTTACCTGCCACTTCAGCTGCACAGCTAATGTTAGACTACAAGCTAACGTGAAGACAAGTATGCAGAGCATCGCTGTCTCTGCCCTCGACTCAGAGGCGAATTGCTAATGATCTACTGGAGCTCTGCAGAGCTTTTTTTTAGTTTTTTATTCTATCTGCTCCTGAGTTTAAGTTATAATCTGAAACATCTCTTGAATATTTTCCCATACACCTTGATTTGACGAACTGCAGAAAGCCCATTTCCTGAAGTGTCATCTCTTTCCTGCACTGAATCTGAAGCAGGACACATCTTGTAACATGTTTTACCATTTATGGCAAATTATCATCTGTTTTACTGCTTCCTGGCTGTAAGAAACTTAGACAACAGACATTCAGAGAGCTTACCGCATTTTTTTAAGGTGAAGCACGGTTACATCATTAACCTGTAAGCCATGTGGGAAAGACTGATTTTATCAGTGCAAAAATATAGTTCAGCATCTGAGCGTTGACAATAGTCAAATCTAAAATATGAGTGACTACAGCACTTAAAGATGAGCTGTGAGAGACAGCCACCATTGATAAACAGCACGTGTCCTTCTATTATACAGAAAGAAACCACTTAGTACATTTAGAGTGTGTGGACAGACAGATGTCCACAGACAAAACACAATCATTTGAAGTGCGTGTCAGCTCCTCATCTAACTCAACCAAAGCCTAAATTACAACCCGGCATCACCCTGAGCCCTGACCTCTGGACGCTGTTAACACAGAAATGTCAGTGTGATTCCTCTGACAGCATGACTCTACCAAAATCGCCTCCAGAAGAGCCTTCGTCTTCGGTTTGACCACTCATGTAAAAACAGATTGAAGACATAGCTTCAACTTCCTGTACTATACTCCTTCCAGACTTTCAAACTGATTGGTGTAAGACATATTTCTTTGATTTAAAGGGATGTAAATTTTAAAGTGAACCTTAATGCTTTCCGTCTTCCTTTCTGGTATCATGCATCTGTGATGAAGAGATCTCACAAGGGCCCCTACAGTGCAGGAGGTTATTTCCAGAGAAGCGGGGCAGACATGCCTCATCTGCTCAAGGAAACTTGGCCCTCAGCGGTGTGACTGCTGCCATGCAGAGCAGAGCAGCGACTGCTCCTTGGACAGCAAAGTGTTACATTTGCAGTATTTTAATCCTCTTTAAAAATTCAAAGGCAAAGTAGAAATGCTGAGCAGATGGCTGTTTGGGAAGGTTTGTATGTACGTGGTGGTCTCAGTATCAGGGGAGGGCTGCTGTTCAGTCCAAACCTCAGCCACTGATCTAATGGATGAAGTGAGTCATACCCACCTTCAATGTGAGCGCAACCATCTCCATCAAACACACATGGGCCAGCACAATGAGCCACATTCATACAACAATGTTTTTCTGGTCACCTCCTTGTGTTGGAACAATGTTTTCTACTACAGCAAAGCCACATCTGTTTCTAATGAGCGCTCCTATCTGTTCATTAGGTCAACTCTTAACAGGCCATCTGAGTCAAGCACCTGCTTTTCAACAACACAGTAAGAGTCCTCCTATTACCAATGCCATCATATCTGTTAAAATCCCCCCTGTGGTTGATGAACTGACTGAGTACAGGCCTTTTCTTTCTTGTCAGAGCAGCAGCGTAGCATTCGCCTTTAATTGGAGCCATTTTAAGGGGAGTTTCTTGCCATGTGCTCGATGCCCTCACAGATTGTTCTCATTTCCAAAATCCTCAGATCATGAGACTGAATGCTGTGGCAGTCTTAAGCAGACAAAACGCGTGCATGCTTGGTTTCACTTCTGCAATTTCAGATTTCAGCAAATTAAAAACACCACCAAGAAGTGAATCACTGGCAAGTGGGAAAACAAAGCCCTGCTGCTGGTTTCAACGCTGCACAACGTTCTAAATTGACTTTTGATAGAAAACGTGACAAATTTGAACACTGAAATCAACCATACTTTCTTGAGGTTTATTCCTTTTTACAACAGCTTTACATACTTCAATGAAAAACTGATCAAGAGAATCAAGCACAGAACTCAGACCTGAGGAATAATCCACTTAGAAACACAAATCCTGAATGTTTTGGAGTATTACAGCCTCAAGAAGCTAATAAACAACCTCAAGAAACTTCATTTCGCTTATTCTTTAGTGCAGTTTATGTTTAAAGCTTTTCTATTAATGAACCATTAACATTTTACAACATGATTACATGATAAAAGAAAAAACTACAGTGCAAAGAAACAACTGTTTCCTTCTTTGTAAGGGGCAAATATACAGCAAAACAAGCTCAGATTACAGAGGGAGCAAAAGGTTTTAAATAAGCTAG